CCAGTGCCGCTGACAGAATGACCTGAATGACCTGGGACACACGGAGCCGACGTCCAATGGAAGACAATTGGAATGAACATGAATGATGAACCCAATGGGAATGACACGCAAGGAACAACGGTGTCCACGCAATCGAAGAACCTTTCTCCGAAAATTATCCAAAGATCCATCCAACCGGAGAAACACTCCAAGCATCTTCCAAACTGTTTTGGGCGAGTAACACCATGTAACACCTCTGACACCCAGGTTTTGGCAGATTCCTTTCAACGTGCCTTGGAACTGGGCAGCCGCCTTCGCAGGTGGATGGCGCCAAGAGCGAACTGTTCCAGGTTTCGCGAGGGAAAGATGGCTGAAACGGAGCTGTGGGAGGGAGGATAGAAGACCTGGAAAGCCATGTGCTTGCCCAAACAACCAGAAACAACATAAAACAACATGAAACAAGTACTGTAGGTAAAGCAACCAAAGGACATCAAAGAACCACTTTCTTTTATGTGAAACATTTTCAACTGCCGGAAACAAACCGGTTGTTCCTGGTTGTTTATGCACGCTGACTCAGAACCGTACCGGCGGCACCCTGGAGAGGTGCAGTGTTCATATATCCAAGGATATATGAGGTTCGAATAGGCTTGAAGCTGTGATGCCCTCTGCAGCAGCACCAGCCAACCCAAAGGCGGTTTATAGACCCATCCCAAAACCACCCAATAGCCTGGGTGGTGCTGGCAGTTCGTAGAGTTCTTTTGCATCCCTGAGTTGGGTAGAAACCACCCGGTTCCGGGATCTTTGCCCTGCTAAGCCTCACATGTTCTTTGCTCAGTCCTTCGTTCGTCCGTGCTCACTTTTTCTGCATGTCCCCGACCGGGTTCCTCGTGTTCATCAACCGTCCCGGACCTGCCAGGGCTGGCCACACTTGGGTTTACCCGATGTCTGGGACTTCGACTTCGTTCAGATGACTCCCAAGGAGGACCGCGGGTGGAGCCCAAACGAGCCAGTCGAAGTCGGAGGGAGGGAGTCACTTGAAGCCACAGAGAGTGTGAACACTCCGGGATGAGGACGGGACATGTTGGGCTTCTCCAACAGAGGTGACCGTAAATAGGACCCGTAACCAGGGGTACCGAACTAGGATAGTCGAACTAGGGTTCTTCAACCTCTGCTGGCTGAGACGGTGCTGGCTGAGACGGTGAGAGAGATTTTTGGGAATCTTGGGCGCCGCCGCATCCAATGGCTCCATCCCTGGCAGTGCTGGTCGCTGGTCACTGGTGATCCGTGCTTCGTTTTCATCGTTGCCGGAACGAGGGAGTAGAGCTCAGTCTGGGGCACTTCTCAAGGTGGGAGGCGCTCGGGGGTTTAGATTAGATCACAAGGTCCCTATAGCATCCTATAGCAATGGAACGTAGACGGTTGAGACATGTTGAGACAAACAGTAATTACAACAGAGGCCTACAAAAAGTACGGCGGCCATTCTACCACTGACCACCAGCGCCTTTCTGTTCACATCATATCCAAGTTTGTGCCGACACGTCCTAAGAGGGGATGGCCTCACCCTGGCTAGCCACTTTCGCAGAAGGATTTGTGATACAACAGTCAAGACCAATCTTCGTTCCTTATGAGTGGCACTACAGTACTGAGGATTTGCTGCATCTATGATAAACAGTATGCCGAAGCAGTGTGCATGCTATTCAGAGGATCTTACTGGTTCCTCTCCCATGTAGTTTCCGGGTTCTTGGCTTTCGGTCTTGTTGGCTAATCTACGTTTGGAATGGCGACCTCTGTCAGACCTGGCGCGTTGCGCGAAGTACAAGTAGAGGAAGAAGAGTCAACGGCCGGCTGCCTTTTGCAGCAACATCATCCAAAGCTGGTCCGCAGCGGGTTTGCAGACTGTCAGGAGTCGCCAGCATCTTCAAAGCTCAGTGATTGCTGATGACAAAAGGTCCAAACTGACACGGCAGCTCCGGTCTCCAGTGTGGGCTTCTTGCAAATGGTTTGTTCTATGGACCGTTTTGAAGTGGAGCTCACTTCGACCCTCAACTTCAGCTGCAACTTGAAGCTATTCTGTGCCTTTGACAGCCACTGAAGATGCGCATGGACCATGCCCTCATGTTCCTTTGCATGCTTTGGGGATGTACGTAGTGAATATATCAACGACCATTAAAAGACACATTGACCTGGTTGGCAAGCTTGTAGGCTAAAGTCGTAAAGACGACCGTGTTGTTTGGTACATGTCCGACCGTCTAGACTCCGCATGAGTCTACGTCCACCGTCTCGCGGTGTTGGGTCCTACGGTCGCCAGTCGCCAGGACACTTGGTGTCCTGGCGACCTCCTGGCGAACCATTTGTTTTACCTCCAAGGATCTTAAGGGATTCTTAGACTACAACATTTGTCAACTTTTCTTTTCGCCTTTTACAACTGAAAGCGACCAGTGGTCTGAGAGAAAGACGCACGACTGTCCTTCTTGTCCGGGTCGGAAGGGTTCGATCTGGGGCGACCGAAACCAAAGGACATGCTCCTGAGAGTCGGGAGTCCTTGGGGAGTATGGACACGGCTCTCCTGAATCCTTTAGGAGCTAGCTGCACTTTCATATGTCATAGCAGAGCGCCGGACCTCACCAGTCACCAGACGCTGAGGGAGTACGGGAGTAGGGCCTGGGCATGTTTGGCTTCTTTCCAAGCTCCTGGCGCTTCCCTGGCGCTTCCCTGGCAGCAAACCAGTTCGCTTTTCTCGGCACATGGCTCGGCTCACGGCGAACAGGGCTCGCCTCCGGTCGTGGTGCGACGGACGACAAGGGACGCCACGCCATCCCAGAGGGTTGAGTGAGGACGGCACGGACGCGACCGACTCGGGAGCCAAACTACAAGGGAGTCTAGTAACCCTTTGTAGTCACCTTGTGGTCACCTTGTAGTCACCTTGTAGTCACCTCAGTAACCCTTTGTAGACTCTTGATTAGTACCCTCAGTAACCCTTTTATTTGGATTGAACCTAACCACCTCTTCATATGGGGGATTTATCAATCAAGAGTCTAGATTACCGACCCATTGCTTGGGTACCCTCAGCCGTTGACCTTATTGCTTGGCACTGTGCCTAGCAGGTTTTTTTCTTGGATGGGCCCATGTCGATGGCACCTTCTTGGGACATGATGTAATGATATATATATATATGCAATGCATCTTTTTTCTTTTTTTAACACTACTCTGGACGCAATACAAGAATACAAGCAGATGCTGTGAGTGTCCCATTCTCTCGTTTTGGGCATTCTGGCTCGAGACCACTGAGGGGTCAGCGGTCCTGACACAAGACAAGCCTGGCGTCCTGAAGCGGACGGGCAGTTGTAGAGCATAAGCAGATTCGGTGAATTGCCAGACATGAAAGCCCAGGTCATCATCTTCCGACTTGAAAAGCAGACGATGGATTTGGGAACCATCTAAACAAAAAGGTGTTTTTGTGGCCCGGAGGTGTTTTCTGTTGCTCAAATATGGCAACATGTTTGCTTTGTGAGTCTTTGTGACCCAAGACTTCCCACGATCACTCCGCGCCTGTTTCAGCCTATTGAAGTCCTTCCGTCGCCAGGCAGCTCACACCGGCGTCCCCGTAGAGCCCACGCATGTCATGGGAGCCGATGCATGTCATGTCCACAGGTTTGAACAGTTGAAACAACTTCAGAATGGCTGGTTTTTTCTGGTCCCAAGTCCCAAAGACATCATCCTATACCCAAAGGGTCATTGATCAGCCCCACAACTCGGGCATGACGACCGACCCTCACGTTACTCGGGCATGACGACCGAACCATGACGGACCCTCGACATGTTTGATTCGGGGCCGAGACTTGGTCGCCTCAGACGAGAAAGCTCCTCCTGAGACTTAAGACCTCACGAGACTTCAGACGCATCTCACAGGCAAGTCGGCTCCCAACAGCGGCCACGTGTCCGATCTGTTCAGCGGTGTCCATTGGGGAGGAGGGGTTGGGGTTTGGTTGCGGGGGGCGGAGTGCAAGTCAAACACCCGCTAACAGATGCTGAAAGCCGAAAAAACCCTGCCAGCAGTTCCAAAAGTTTTTTGTTTGACTTCAAGTAAGTGGATCATGGGCTATCCTCCAAGTTCGGCACCCAACTCCATGGAATCTGCTGGTGGTTTTTCTTTATGTTTGCGTCGCAGGGACCTCGCATGGACCACGCATGGAGCCCGGAAAACACAGGATGCACCCGAGGAAAGGTTTAGGTGCGGTGCCATGCCCAGAGAATGGGACTGGAAGGGTTATAATATATATATATATACACATACGTATACGGTATAATTGGTCATGAAACTGCTATACCCTCCATCCAAATGGCACATATATATTATATATATATATACTGCAAGGGTTACACAAGAAACCCATGGTGCTTTGTTCTATTCCAGTTCGATTCGTTTGGTTCTTTGGCAGTCGCGGCACCGGACTTGATTGTTTTTCAGAGGTTCTGACTGAGGTTCGACCGAAAATGGTCGAAGTAGGGGGTGAAAGACACATGGAGGGCAGGGAAAAAGGTGGAAAACAGGATGAAACAACAGGATACTCCTGAGACCAAGACCGTTTGATGTTGAAACCAAAAACCAAAGACCTTTTCCTATGTAAAGCTCAACTGCAATGTTCTAATGGAACAATCAAATTTGTTTCTGGTTGTTAGGTTGCCAGGTACAACTCGACGAACCACTTGCCAGTGTGCATGCACGATAGTTGGAGACGCAAGTCCTCAGTTGAACGACATCCACTTAAGATACTGTAGAACTTGATAGAAACCACTTCAACACAAAATGCACTTAAACTTGACCTGCACAAGGTATCCTCGAATTCTCAATCTAAACCAGGCAGCACAGGGCTTCGCCGTGCCACACAGGTGGAAGATCGAGGTAAAAGCTTCTGGTGCACCGAAGGATTGATCTAAGCCTTCGACCCAACGTGACCCAACGTGACCCAACGCGCCCGTCGCAGGAGCGGACACCGTTCGACTGGCACGGTGAACCTCCGATGGCGCAGGCACCGTTCGAGACTGGCCGCAGTTCGATCCATCGCGTCCGATCTCCGCATCGCTCCGCATCGCTCCGCATCGCTCCGCACACGAGCTGATGGCGGCGCCCCACGAGCTGATCGGGGCGGTGGGCGGGGCGCAGGTTGGCTCGTTTGATCCCGATTGCGGGAAGCTCCTGAAAGACCTCGAGGAGGTCCTACGGCAGCTGCCGGGAGGCGCGTTGTTCAGCTCGGTGCGAGGCGGGAGCTCGCGGCTCGGCCGCGAGGCCGGCCGCGGCTCGGCATGTCGTTTCAGTGCGATGTTTTCATATGTTTTCACCAGTGGCTTGTCAGGCAGTTTGGAACCATGGTTTGGAAGCATGTAAAGGCAGGTGGTAGACATGTAACCTGCAATACCGCTGGTGTTCCGGAGATTTTTGCCGAGTAGGTTAAGTTTTGCAAGTTTGATACCCAGAAATGTGTGAACAATATTGAACAACAATTCTGGATCCGTTACAGGTTTGCCATTTGCAATAAGACTGGGTCCCAATGCCATTCAGCCACTGCAACCATTTGCTATTGCCAAGGACTTGTCCAGATTTCTTTGAATTGAAGTAAGATTGGAAAAACCTCCAAAAGCTGAGCTGCAAATGCTGCAATCACTTCCAATCATTAGACCATCCACGCTGAGAAATTGCCTGAGGACAGACATCCTAATTGCAAATCCATACCGACAAGATGGGACAATACTCGTCTTGCCAGTAGCCTAATGCCGCAATAAACTCAATAAACTGGACCGAATCGATGAGACAACTGTTCCCTCATCCTGAACAGACTCGGGAGCTCCACGGGCGTTCGCCCATGTGGCGGAACCAGGCTTTGCCTTACGTACCTTCGGCTCCTATGCCTCAGGCCGGACGGGCCGGGTGAGACCGGGTGAGGCCGATCACCCTTTGAGGCTGGACCCAAGCTGTTCGCGGTCCGCTTTTGGACCCTCCACAATGAGGGTAGACTCAGTAGACCGAACCAACATGTAGCAGCTATTCATGTTCAATCATGTTCAGCCGGAAGGGGCACCCTACTTTTGGGGAAGGGGCGAAGTCAGTGTCTTCTCTTGTTGCGTTCTGCGGCTCTTTTATTCCTGCGGCCTTCTTGTTGGTTGGTGCGAAGCCCCCAAACAGGAGGTGAACCTGTTCATGTCAAAACAGGTGAAAACTCAACATGACGGCCCCAAAGCAAAGGGAGGGAAGGGAGCCAGGGGGGTCACCGGTCACCTTGGGTCGGATGTTCAGACCCGATTAATGCGGGCTGCATCTCTTGCATCGCGATGGGGCGACCGAAAGCCGAAACCACCGTTTTATAGGAAGGCCTCTGGTTTTAAAGTAACTCCACGTTCAAAGACAGATTTGGAGTGACTCCCCCAGTTGAACGAAGAATTCCAGCACTTTTTGCTGTCAAGACTCCACTTTTCGTGGCCTGATGCCACGGATCTGCCTGCCGCTCCGCTGTGCGCTTGCGCTGGCCGCAGACACTGCCTGCCGGGCGCCGGAAGTACTCGATGTGGTGATCTACCAGGAGATGATGCCTGGAAGCCAAGGAGTGCGAGAGCTGAGCCGAGGACTGCGATCCACCAAGATTGAGGTCAGTCATGTAGACTCTTGATTAACAACCCCCACAAACCTCTTCTGTCACTCGTGCCCTCGATGATCCCAGCGCGAGACTATGCCGAAGTGGCTTCCGCCACCTCCTCGACATCCAACAACCAAAAGCCCAACCCGAAAGGAGTCACCAAAGTCAGCAAGAAGATTAATTACATTCAGCAATCGGGCGGCCAAGCTGGCTTTGACCATTTGACCATGTGAACCCGCCACAAGGAAGCACAGAAGAGCATCTGGTCGGCGAAAGGTGCAAAAATTTCAAGTAGCACCTGCGGGCATTGTTTTCCTCCATGAATGATGAGCATGGGAGTCATGTTTGCCCGGATGCAAGGGAAATGAGAGCAATTTCCGTGCGAACGCACAGCTGCTTTTTGTCCACTGGATGTCAAGGACCTAAATGCGAAGTGCTCATCGGAGAGCGCGCCACACTAAAATCTTCCAAACTGATCCCAATCAAAGCTTGAGTAGTGCCAGGCTCCTTGTAAAGCCTCTTCACATAAGACTCCAACAGCGCAAGAATTGAGACGACACATCCCCAGTGCCACCTTCGAGATGAAGGGATTGATGGGACCCTATGGCGAGTTTCAGGTCCTTAAACTTGGGATCAGATTTTTCCGAAAGTCCTCGCCATCCGAAGAAGCGCACTCCGAATGCCCAAAAAGCATCCACTCGTGGATCAGTGTAGCCGCCGGGATCTCTATAGATGTATGTATAGATGCTTTGCCAGAGCTTTGGCTCTCCTCAAACATCACAGAACCCCATTTCTTTCGTAGGAATGGGGACACAAAACCCCAACAAGTGATCCGATGGATCCAAAATGATGGTTACCTCGGCTGACTCGTCTCATGTTCTCCCCATTTTCTCCATTCTGAGATTTGTGCTACCTATGATACCAAAGCCGGCACCACGGAAAGGCATTGTGAGGGGTGCCTACAAAAAAAGCAACGAACTCCATGGTGCGGGCAGAGACCTCTAAGATTTGCAGCACAGGGGAGACCTGTCAGGCTTGCACCGCCGATTTCTGCATTCTGATATATGATATATGATGTGTATTGATGTATGATATATATATATGTATATGTGATGATCATTGATGATCTATGTGATACTATATGATACGTACCATAGTAAGTCATAGTAATTTTATGACAATGCAGTTACAAACCATAGTAAACCATAGTAAATCAGAGTACCAATGCCAGCACTTCGACCAGGAGTTTCGACCCGTTATGACAATGCGGACTTTTGGGGGCTTTACTAGGGGCACCCGTGAGCGTCCACCTAGTGAGCGCACCCGGACATTCGAACTGCATTGTCCCTTTCCATTTGCGCCACGGTACCCTCCTGTAAAGGGTTCGGCACCTTGCAGTGCCCAATTCCAATGAGATGGATCCTGAAAAACAGGTAGGTCACCATTATCCAGTTGAAAACACCCATAGAACTGCTGGGAAAACGACCATGTGATGGTATGTGACATGTGATGATCCCAAATGAAGGTCATTCTCACCACCCATCATGGTGTGAAGGACCCAAAGCCATCATCCCCATCATCTAAAGCCATCTCCAGGGGCCCAGGAGCTCACTCTGCCGAGCTCCGGATTTCACCTCTTTGTTACTAGTAGTTTCTTGCTACTAGCAGCGATGACCTTGTTACTAGTAACTTTTTGTTCCCAGTAGTCTCCATTTTCTCCCTTTCACCATCTCAGGGGTCGACCTGCCCCTGGCCTCGAGCCACGGGGTCCGGCGGACCCTGTCCGGGGCCCCGTCGAAGCCGTGGCGAAGCCGAGAGCGTGGCGGAGGTTTGGTTCCAATCTCAGCCAGAGAGAAATAGATCTAAGATGATCTAAGATCTGTGAAGGAATCCCCTCAAAAACCTCCAACTATCAGTAACTATTGGGTCCCGACCGTTCAGTGACCACCAAACCATCGGGTCCCGGACGGTCCTTCTTGGACCGAAGACGATTCAGGACTATGAAGGGACAGCTTTGAGGGCATCTACCTACCGCCCTGGTGAACGAGAGACCCACATGGAACCTGAAAACCACATGGTGAACGTGGAAGAAGCGAACGTCTTCCAGTCGGGTCCCATGCCATCAGGCTTTATGTGGATCTCCATGCCACCTGGGTGTACGACCTGGAGACTTGTGAGTCACGTACCATGCGAGAGTCTACGCCCCGAAACGGAACCAGGAGATGCAACCTTTAAGGTGCCCGAAAGCTACATGGAGGCAGCAAGTACAGCAAGTTTTCTACAAGTGGAACTTGGACTTCCTCAACCCCCCCAAAACAGGCTCCGTAATCAGTTCCAAGGTACGTATGCTCAGCGACTTTTTACCATTTTGTATTGTATCATTTTGTCTTAGATTTTTAGATGTAATAAACATATTTGTGCTCATCCTTTTGGACATAACTTGGCATGTCAATTACTGGCCAACGTGACCTCAAAACATTCAAAGGATTTGTTGAATTATATAGAGGAACCTACAACTTCCCCACGTCACCCTGTCAATAAGTGGATATACAGTAAGTGGTGATGCACCAAAGCCTCGCCCCTAAAGGACCCTCTCCTGTTCCCAGGTCAAGGACTTCGTCGCTTGCTTGCTGGCGCATCCCGACCGATTCAGTGCCCTGGAACCCCACAGTTCCATGCAGCAGGGCGTCAGGCCCGGCTTTTTTTCTTGGTTTTCTCGTGCACTGGACACCTCAGAGAACACCCCCAGCCCTGACAAAGCCCAGGACTGCTGAAGCACCTTTCAGTGCACTGTCCAAGTATATACTTGTTGCGACAAACAGACGTCACTTTAGGCCTCCAAAAAGTTGTTTGTCTCGATTATATGGCCTCTACTTTTCTCCAAACTCGGGTCTTCCACTGACTCGGCATCTTCTGGCATCGACATCCAGGATTTTGGCCTTCAACTTTGCCAACATCCACAGCAAACAGGCCCTGAAACGAGCCCCGTGTTTTATCTTTTTGAGGGAGGGTCGGTTGAATGAAGGAGGTGAATGACTAACCTTTGAGCAGAGAATTCAGTTCCAGCTAGATTATATAAAGGAGGTAGAATTGGATTGAAGAATCAGTTAAGGTCAAAAGAGCTAACATACAAAGAACCTTATTTCTTTTCCCTTTGATTGACTTTATACTTGGAAAAGATAACTAACCAAGGAAATAATTCAAATTACATAGCAGAACAAGCACTATAGAATACCGGCACTTGGGAGATGCCAGAATGAGGCTTAATGTGCTAGAAGTCCTTCAAAAAAGTTGATGATCCTGTGTCGCATTTGACGATCTTGATGCTCCCGAGATGGGAGTTTTTGTAGGTCCAAACCTTGGTCTTACTTGGAACCTCGGCATCACTTGAAGCATTTGAAGGTTTTCGTTTAAGCCACATGAAGCAGGCTCTTTCTTTGAGCCGATGCAGTACCGCCCTTGGTGCAGCCGTTGTTGGGCTCCATATCAAAGGTCACCCTCCGAGTTGAAAAACTCCCCCGCAGCGAATCCCAACGCAAAAACTCCGAAGAAAACATTTAAAGCATGGTTTGAACCACCAAAGTAAAGGACCTCCCAGACTTGAGTCGTCAAGTCAGACATAGATCCTCCCAGCCTTTCAAGCAGGAACTCATGATCTACTATGGCGACTCCACCAGTGGGATCATTGATGTGCTACTGGGGTCGCTCGACGCGTGTCTCGCATCGCTTCCCGCGCGGGATGTGGATCCGAACGTCCAACGCCTCCAGATGTGTTCTCTTTAATGTACAGTAAGTATATCTAGCTACTAGTATAGTTATTTGCTACCTCCAACCTAATAGCTAATTTGTAGTATAGTTTTCTCTTTTGTTACTGTAAATGTTTCCGCAATGAAAGCTTTTGATTGCTTGGCCAATTTGGAATTCTAATTAAAGAGGTCAAAACGGTCATCCGAGACTTCCATTGCACACTGACACTTCGGTTGCTGGACAGTTCTTTGATCCCGAACAATTCTTCCTGAATCTCAAGAAGTGCCGGGCATCATCACAGGAAACAGATTGACCTATGACGGAGGACAAACAGGCACAAGTTGATAGGTGAGCAGTGCGCCTGTCAGAACAGAACTTGGTGCAACATGAATCTGTACGAAGCTGTGGATATTGGTGAATGGCCCATGATTTGGAAGAACTACTGTATTGTAAGTGACCTGACTGGGGGTCCGGACACTCTTATACGTGCATCCAGGGCATCACCGTGGCCTCAAGATTGTGGGGTTCTGACATGTTTTCTTTTCTTTTCCCAGACACTCCATGTATGCCATATATGCCTACATTGGGGTGGTTTTGGGGGTCAATGGGGCGGCATATATGGCAGTCCCATGGGTCGTGTCTGGGTTTTTCTTTAGCCCAATGGAACCCCAAGGACCTTCCCTGAATTGCATCCATGCAGGGCTCGAATTGCATCCATGAGGCTTCTCAGGTCTTGCTTGATAACGATGACGTCGTTCGGGACACCTTCTCAGGTCTTGCCGGCCGGACCCGCTCAGAAAGGTCTCCCCACCCGTTCAGAAAGGTTCACCACACAGTCGCCCCGCTCAAAGCGGCGAAGTGTCATGGCGCCATCCACGACCTGTCCGGACGCCACAAAGTGATTGGATTTTGGACCTTTGGGTTTGTCCCATTCCTGTGGTCGGTCTCACAATATCTATATATATATAGAATTATACAATATTGTATTGTTTGAGGAGGGAGAACCAAAAACATCGGGGCACCCAAACACGAAGAGGGGCGGTCTGAATGGCTCACCGGGGGCACCGGATCCGGTTCCACGATGGACCGGTTGCAGCTCCCGGACACGGGGAGACCCGGACGCGTGCATGTGTACAGGTGCAGTGAGCTTTCAACCCCAAACATCTATGAGGAAATCCAGGGTTTTTCAAGCTCAGAGCGAAATCATCCGAAATCCACTTTCACGAGTCTCAAGTGAGTGTATCTATTTCTCGAGTCTCATCGACCCTGCTCGTTCCCGGTTGGTCCCGACCCTGCTCGACTCCTTCCAAGGCCGCTCCTACGCTTGCAGCCCCACGCCTTGCCATTGGTGAAGACCGTCAAGCGCGGGACCCGGCCCCCCGCCCTCCGCGGGACCCGGGTCCGATGTTCGAATGGGATGGGGTGACCGAGGTGACCGAGTGACCAAACAAGTTTTAGGTTTTGGAAGGTCAAGAGAATCCAAGCGAAGAAGGGAGGATGTTTCTGACGGGACACATCTGCAGGAAAGCCTGCACATGTGGGAAGGAACATGGGGAAGGAACATGCACTTGTCCTGTAGGTGTTGGTCTAAAACAACCCCTGAAACACAGGTTACATGCGGGGGATCTGTCCTTTTGATGCTGGTCTTCTTTGGGCGCTCTTTCTTGGTCACACGCCGCCAGTCGCCGATTGACGCCTTTCCTGCGCTCCCAACCCGGGCTCGACGCCCTGCCCAAGGCGGTGGGCGAGGCGGCACGATCTCAATCCTCCCGGATTTGGAGCCGCCGAGGGCGGCGGCCGTTGGGGATTCGTCGTGTTCGTTTGTTCCTTTCTTTTTGCCTTAAGGCTCCATGCCCCAACTGCCTCCTGAGCCTGAGAAGATGGTTGCGGAGGGTGGTTTTGGGGGGGTCTGTTCCCACCTTCTGAGGATATGGCTGGAGGTGTAGGGAGAGACTAATAGGGTTTAGGGCCAGGTATTCCAGCCACAGCCAGAGGGGGCCATCGGTCAACATGTCCTTGGCACGGACGGCCTTTAAAAACAAGAGGCTCCAATTCAAAGACCCCGTGAAGAGACAAAACTGGGTAGATGAAGAACTGAAATCATGATATGAGCAGACATGAACGCATGATCTGATGGTGTGCATCACGCGCTAGTGTTTGGTGGCAAAAGGAATCTTCTCTTCAACATCGGGGTAAGGTCAACGATACCGTGTTCAACTGTGCATTGCCCTGCGCCCGGGCAGGAGGGTATCATTGGACGGTGCTGTGCATCTTTTTCTTGCAGCAGCAGGGCTTTTTGCGCTGCCCCAAGCAGAGTGTGTCAGCGCCGTGAGTTCTTGTTTTCGCCTTTCCGTTCGGCGTCGCATGTACTTGATCCTTCATGTCGACAGGTGACATGCGAAAAGCGTGGCCTGGTGAAGATGACATGTTCGAGAGAGTTGATCTCAAAGCCAAGACCAATCAAGCTATCTTAGCTAGTTTGACGCTTCTTTGCCCAATTCTAGAGCCCATGGCCTCCGCCTCGTTGCTCGTACTCGCAGCACTTGCTTGCAACCTTGTGTGCGATCCTGCGTGGGCGGAGAGGGTGAAGCAACAGCACCTGCAGTTGGAGCCACCCTCCTATGTAGTTGATGAATGGACAGAATACCTGAGAAGTCCAGATGGTTTGTGGATCATGAATAAGGCCGAAGCAAGAGCCAAGGCCTATCAAGTGCTGGCCAACCCCTACCATCCACGCTTGGGGGAAGTGAAGGAGATGAAAGCGTTCATTGCAAGTCCGGATGGTTTGTGGCTGAGTGATCGTCGACAAGCATTTGACAAAGCCATTGCAGTTCTTTCCAAGCCGCATCCTCCGAACTTTCTGCAAGAGATCATGACCATGAAAGCTTTCATTGCAAGTCCTGATGGCTTGTGGCTGAGTGATCGTCAGAGAGCATTTGACAAGACCATGGAGGTTCTTGCACGCCCGCATCCTCCAAACTTCGTTGAGTCTGTCAAGGCAAAGGCCGGCGAGTTCTCCAGTCTTGGTCGGGAGCAGGCATTCAGCAAAGCCGTAAGTCTCAGCTATGGTGGTGGCGGCTACAACCAAGGCGGCTATAACCATGGTGGCTACAACCAGGGTGGCTACCACCACGGTGGCTACAACCAGGGCGGTTACAATGGTGGTTCCTATGGCCACCACAACCGCTGGTAGCCACAGGGAACTGCGGCGAAAAGTCATCATAGACCAATGCACACCAAACGTGCTGGCATGGACAATTGCATTTTACGCAAAAAGGGCCGTGCCGCCGTTTCACGAGCTTTTTTCTACCTAGTCTTGTTCGGTAATATGTCAGTCTTCCTAGTTTGTTTAGACAAGTTAGCTTTTTCTGCGTTTCAATGTCTACTTGGATGTGGCATGACGTGGCTCCAAAAATACGACCCCAGAACCCACATCGTAGTTTGCTTATTCTTTTTTCCAGTGTGTGCACCCGCACCCTACGTTTGGAGCCATTGAATCAGCAGTATGGGCATCCACCAAGGATAGTGCTTGATCCTTCATGTCGACAGGTGACATGCGAAAAGCGTGGCCTGGTGAACATGACATGTTCGAGAGAGTTGATCTCAAAGCCAAGACCAATCAAGCTATCTTAGCTAGTTTGACGCTTCTTTGCCCAATTCTAGAGCCCATGGCCTCCGCCTCGTTGCTCGTACTCGCAGCACTTGCCTGCAACCTCGTGTGCGATCCTGCGTGGGCGGAGAGGGTGAAGCAACAGCACCTGCAGTTGGAGCCACCCTCCTATGTAGTTGATGAATGGACAGAATACCTGAGCAGTCCAGATGGTTTGTGGATCATGAATAAGGCCGAAGCAAGAGCCAAGGCCTATCAAGTGCTGGCCAACCCCTACCATCCACGCTTGGGGGAAGTGAAGGAGATGAAAGCGTTCATTGCAAGTCCGGATGGTTTGTGGGTGAGTGATCGTCAGAAAGCATTTGACAAAGCCATTGCAATTCTTTCCCGGCCACATCCTCCAAACTTTGTTGAGTCCGTGAAGGCAAAGGCGAAAGAGCTAAAGTTCAAGCATGGTCGCAAGCTGGGATTTAAAAGAGCCGTAAAGCTCAGCTATGGTGGTGGCGGTTACAACCAAGGCGGCTACAACCATGGTGGCTACCACCACGGTGGCTACAACCAAGGTGGCTACAACCAGGGCGGTCACAATGGTGGTTCCTATGGCCACCACAACCGCTGGTAGCCACAGGGAACTGCGGCGAAAAGTCATCATAGACCAATGCACACCAAACGTGCTGGCATGGACAATTGCATTTTACGCAAAAAGGCCGTGCCGCCGTTTCACGAGCTTTTTTCTACCTAGTCTTGTTCGGTAATATGTAAGTCTTCCTAGTTTGTTTAGACAAGTTAGCTTTTTCTGCGTTTCAATGTATACTTGGATGTGGCATGACGTGGCTCCAAAAATACGACCCCAGAACCCACATCGTAGTTTGCTTATTCTTTTTTCCAGTGTGTGCACCCGCACCCTACGTTTGGAGCCATTGAATCAGCAGTATGGGCATCCACCAAGGATAGTGCCGTTGTGCCGCCGTTGTCGATCTTGTCGTGACTCGGATGGGCCGACTTGCTGGATGGACTCACCTTTTAGCAGAGGATGCAAGAAGAACACTGTCACTGGTCACCGGCTCGTTCAGAACTCTGTCACGAGGTCCGCTGTCGCCGAAAGAGGCAATCAAAGGGGACCCAAAGAGCCACCTGAACGAGAGAACCCTCGAATAAGGACCTCACAGAGACTTCTCCTGAACGTGGTTTTGCTCCTATTTTTACCTATATATAGGTGAGTCCCCTTCCGTGGAGTAATCTGTAATACCGGGGTTCGAGTGTACAGGTGGATTCTTCGACTGTACACCCGGAATCCGTGTGGTGTCGCGGAATCCGTTGTCGTGGATCGTTCCTACACGCGAAGCTCTTCTCGCTGCGGTGTCGTTGGATCAAGATGAAATGACCATGTAGGAAGAGACCGAAGCGAAGCCGGTCTTAGATTTGCAATTAAAACATCATCCCCACGAAAAACCCCGACCACATCAAGTCTCTTTTTCGTGTTGCAGAACTGATCCCCACCCCATCGCCCTACATCCCCACCCCATGACTGCAAACATCCATCGCATGTTCCAAGCATTCCAGCAAAAATTCCAAGGAGAAACACCACCCCCCACGCCACCTACTGTAGTCCCACCCACCCTCACTAACCCTTCCATTTCTCTCCAATGGCGGCCTTTCGCCTTCGTGCGCGCCCACGGCCCTGCGTGGCCGTCGCCGCTGTGGCCGCTGTGGCCGCTGTGGCCGCCGCCGCCGCGGCCTTCGCGGCGCCGAGCGCGGCGGAGCAGCCGCGGCGCTCGTCGGTGCTGGCGAGCCTGGGTGGGCTGGGCGCGATGGGCTGGGCTGGATGGTTGGGAAGTGAGATGAAGAGCCTTGGACGATGGATGGGCTGGGCTGGATGGATGGGAAGGGAAGTTATTTTTCTGAGGGAGTGAGAAGAAGGGATTGGGAATAGTCTTTGAGTCAAATGCTCAGAATTCCGGATTGTTTTTTCCACTACTAATTAATAGTTCTTTCCAGTTGGCTGCTGAGCTCTGGACCCATCTTCAGCTGAGTGGATGTGCAGGGAAAGGACCTGAGAACTAAAGACTCTGTGGACTCTGAGTTAGAAGAGTTTCCGAATGCCCTTCAGACGGGCATATGTAGAAGAACTTGCATCTGCTCAAAAGTCAGGATCTTCTCCCCCAGAAGGGGATATCATCTTCCCATTTAGCCGTGCTTTGAGCCCTAGAAGAGACTTGTCTTCTCCATTTTGCAGATTCGAGTCATGTCTTTGTGGCTGTAGTGTGGATCAACCAGGTTCCGAAACAAAGCCCGCGCTCTGGGTGAAGATCACCAGCCCAAACACACACGAGTTCCGACGTGAGGCTGCAGGCTCGTTGTTCTTGCACGTCCATCGTCCTCCACCCCAAACCACAGTAAGCCGCATCCATCGTCCTCCTCCTCCTCCGTCGTTTTTTTAGGCCTTCAACAGAGGGGCAGTACGAAGAGGCCGTGGTTGGTTTAGGTCTGGGTGCTCCAGACGTGGAAGATGCCAGTGGCTGGGATCCTCGGACGGAGAAGCGCCCGTGAGACATAGGCAGAACAACCTCTTCTGGCCTAAATGATCAGACTAAGTGCCCTTCCTCTAAGTGACAGGCCATGGGAGTGTGAATAGAAATACTGTTTAAGACACAAACAGTCTATTTGAGTCTATTTGTTTGATCTGCCATGAACGCAGCTGCGGCCCCCCCTCACAAGCCTCACAGGTCAGCTGCGGCCATGTCGCCGTGCCGGTCCACCTAAGCGACAAAGCAGTCTGCACCAGTACGTCACTTTTGTCCATCTCGCGACACTCCTGCAGATAGACCCTGAACATTCAAGCGATCCTGGACTCTTGGAAGATCCCATCTGGCTTGGGCGGTAGGTGCTAGCGAGATGTTCCACCTCGGACTTGTGGAACAAATCACGCACAAAATCGCATCTGGGTGCTGTGATTTCAAGCCCAAGAAGATGTGCCCTCTAGGAATTGATCTTCTTCCAGAAGACTTTGGAGGATATTGGCCACCGCTGCCCCCGGAACTCGCAGGCGCCTGTGGGCAGGAACTCGACGGACCTGCGGACGGGGTGCGGGGGGCGGGGTGAAGGCTGTGGTGGATTGGATGTAGAAACGACGTTCAGAAATCCTCAAGTTGGTGGCCTACTTGTAGTCAAGAAGGGTAGGCACCACAAAACGATGAAGCACAGGGATTTTGCCCAGTTTGTCTCACTTTTGGAGGGCCTTCTTATCAAAACCAAGGTGGAAAGAGCGGTCCTGCTCAATGTTGGTAGTTTGTCCGGACCAAAGTCCTTTGCAACGAAATTGCCTACTCTCCTGCGTGTGTCCCATTTCTTGTAGAGAGATGTTAAAACGAAGATGCGAGAAGGTAGACCACTCATATCACAGGCATTTAAGACATCATGTGACGCATGCGCTTCCTAGTATCGATCAGACCGACTGCTTTCCCTCAACATGGTCCTCCTCCGACTCGGCCGGGGTCGAGTTCGGGTCATCGGTCATCCGACGGTGAAGACGGTCTGAGATGCCTTTTTTTGCGCCCTTTTTGGTTGGGTGATGCATATTTGGAATTCTTCCAAGCGTATCAATACTAGCACCCAACCTGACAGGTCACCACCTATGCCTGAAAAAAGTCTCCAAAAGCCTTCAAAGGAGACCTGTAGAGTCGGGTGCTGGTATAGGTATATGGTATCAACCTGACCTCTCCATGATTCCCCAAGGGCATCATTGGTGGCACACCCCACTGTTCTCCTCAGGTGCTCTACCACTACACTGATTTGCCCAGCTGCAATGCCATTGTGAAAGGCCGCCGAGGGCTGCGCCTATCCAGAGGTGGCTACAAGGGCGACTTGGTCAGAGGAGATCGATTGTGGTGCAAGAGCTGGTACCTTGGGTGAACATGAAGTTGAGTGGCCGTGGCATGGCACCCAGCTCGCATGTTGACCACCGGAAACGAACAGCAAAGACTGGAAGGGAGGTCAACCTACCGCGGAGATGGACCCTGAAAAAACACTCATTGGAAGAAGATGTTCCTAAAGCGATCGGGTGGATTGTTCCTCAGTGGATTTTCGGACTCGACTGGCTCCGTCTCGATCTCTTCAAAAGGCTCTGACTCTATCGGTGACCCGAGCTCGGGATTTCTCATTTTTTCGGCACCAGCGCCTAGACGATTCTACCAGTATGACCTGTTCAATTTGCGGAGATGGATCCCACCATGAGACAGCCGGACCTGAGACACTTGCCACCTGCGTTGCCACCTGCGTTGCCACCTGCCTCCGCCCCTCAAGAGTTGCTTGAGAGATTCCTTGGGGTTTTGTGGAGTAAGAAAGTTTCTTTTTTAGAGCTCAAGTGACCAGTGTAAAGGGGGTTCTTGATGTTTCTGCCAGGACGATTGGATCTTTATTAATTATAGCGCCTTTGATTTTATTAAGACACACTCAGACATAATTGTTTCTGTTTCAGGCTTCTGACCCTCTTGAGGATTGTCTTTATCTTAGTTGTTAGTCCAAGCCTCTCGGCTTTGTTGTTGTGTCACTCGCAGTTGTTTGCTTGTCGTTGTCGAAGGGCGAAGGGTCGGGTATTTTCTCCGATGGGTCGGCTTCATCGAGCAGCTTCGCAAAAGAGGAGAAGTAAAGGCATGCTGACACTGTCGGTGTGAGGAGGTAGTCCCTAACTGATCCAACTGGTTCTTAAATATAAAGGACATTAAAGGACTATTAAGGACTGGATAACCCCACATGTGAAGGCTTTTGCATATATACTAACAAGTGGAGGCAAGAGCGGAAGGAAGAGAAATACTAGCGGATGAGTGAGTGTGAGTGTGAGAGTAAGAGTGTGAGTGTGACTGTGACTGAGCGAATGAATGATTTGGTGTGAGTGAGTTGATGTGAGTAAGTGACAACCTCCCATCCTCTTAAGAGCGAGCAAAACGCAGAAAACACCCAGTGAAGCAGGGTGAGACCCACAAAGATGTGAGGAATCCAATTGCTGCACTTGCTTGTAAATTAGTTCCATCATCGCAGATGTTCTTTCCACCACAGAGGTGTGAACTACAATTGAAAGCTGCGTGCTCCGGTATCTTGCCTCTGGACCTGTGGACCTTTCATCAGGTGGCGGAGTCTTCTTTTCAAAGCGCAGCCCTATGCAGGATCTGCCTGTGAGCAACAGGCACCGGGCAATGTTCACGTGCTTCTTCTACACCCCAAGACCAACAGTGAAGTGGATAGGACCTTTGTTGTTAAGGAACATGACATAACATGACCTTTCAGGCGTCCTTTTCCACTTCCATGTCCATTTTTGGAGTCCATATTTCGGAATGGACGGACGGACGGACGGATGGATTCCTTCATGCATTGCGTGGCATGCATTGGCATGCCATCTTCAAGCATGGCATTTGATCTGTCGACATGTAGCCTCATGTAGCTGCCAGTCCCATGGCATGGTCCAGTCCCATGAACTTCATCCAACCACCCCGATGGGGCGACGACGCGCATTTTTGTGCCGCACCGTTCGTCTGCACCGTTCACCCCGAAGCGATGGAATTTGTCCTGAGTTCCGAACCGAGACCCGGAGGCTTTGGAGGGAGATCTTCCCCAACTGGCGCACGGAGCAGCTGCGCTCGAACTATGGGGAAGCCCTGGCCAAGGGCCGGGAGGACAAGGCCTGGCGCGGGGTTTTGGGGGTCTTTTGGGTGCCTCAAATAGATGGCCATCATGGAAATCGTGCACGAAAGGCCACGTGTTTTGGGGTGTTTTGTTCTTTGGAGGGTGCGTCTGGGGTGAATCCTTTGATCATGTCGTTGGTTGGACAAGGCTTTGTGGAGCGACATGTTCTCATCCCGTCTCCGGCCCGTCTCCTTTGGGTCAGGTGGATGCTGTGCTGGTTTGCTATGTGCCCTCCAGCATGTGGGAGGCCAGATCCAGCGTCACCGTCCGATCACACGTCACCGCCGGCTCCCATCCAGATCTTCGGGGCGTTACCCGTCCCATCCCCAAAACGGAAAGGTCCCTGGGTGCAGAGTCGACCTCCGGAGTCGGCCAAAGTCGGCCAAGCTGAATGCTGTGGTTTCGTGGTCTGGGGTGGTCCGAGTGTGGGGAGGAATGGAGTGAACATGTGGCCAATGGCGGTGTTTGCAAGATGAATCTCGATGAATTGATGGAGACCTTGTAATCGCGGTTCCTTTTGTGGGTAGTACCCAGTTGCCCAGTTGTAAAGATGTCATATGATGTCATCATTTATATCTGTTATCAAGATTGTCGAGAGGGCCCAAGCACCAAAACCTGGCTCCGCATTTCAACCTCGCATTGGATCCGGCTTCCAATGGGAGGAACGATGGTCCCATCCTTCGACACATGCCGTACATTGGAGCATGCCATACATCGGCCGACCCCTTAGACTCTTAGACCCGAACTGCTGAGGAAGTGGATGTGGACGAGCGCAAAGACGCTGCCTTCATTTCGCTGGAGAAGTTCGAGACCTTCGCCGCGGAGTACTTCGCTTATCGATGCTCAGCTCCGAGAGACGCCCAGGGCCCAGGGCCCGCGGGTGGAGCACGGGGGGGGCTTTCTTGGGGGGAGAGGACCGGATTTTTCAAGGCTCGGACATCTTTGGATGGCCTTAGGAATATCTTGACATATCCAATGCTGGCCATTTGAAGAGATTGGACACAGAAACAAGCTGGTTGAGAGGTGAGAGAAGTCGGGACCGAAGAAGGGGAGAGTTCTCTGATCTTGGGATCTTAACAAGCCAAAAAGTCAGACCCTTCACTTGAGGAACCAAGCGAGGTAGCAGGCAATGTTCGGGCACATGAGAGGCTCCTCCTTCACTTGTGCTTGCTCGCCGATTTGCGCGCCGGTTTGCATCCCGACCCAAACCAATGGAAAGCATCTTGAGGATCCAATGGACCCTGCGAAGAGGTCAGGTCCAGTGTTTGGGTACGTTGGGTAGAGGCTTTTGGTGCACCTCCCAGTACCTTTGCAAGAGTTTGAACGTTTGTGTCCCCAAATCTGGCACCAACTCTCAAGATTCTGGAAAGCAGATATGACAGGCACTGGCTGAACAAGTCGTGGGCTGGCTGCTGTATATGTATATATAGATCTTTGCACTAGGCCTGTGTTTCCAAAGACCAAGGCAGACCTCACACTGGTTCCTTCCTGTCGGTGCCCTTGACCGACCCGCTTGGTCCTTGGTCCCTTCGCCAAGCCATGCGAATCGAGGCAACATCCCGAGAGCCTATCGCTTGGCTGGCTGAGAAAAGGGGATGAGCTGACGAGCTGACGACACGACTGGTGGGATGGGCATATTAGACTCCCGATCAGGTGAAGGGTGTTTGAAAAGGGGGTCAATGTATGCAACATCTCCCATACCAGCACCCTCCAGCACCCTCCAACAGTGTACATATACTATATAGTTATATTCAAACACACATCTGGAGGCTTTTGGAGACTTAAGAGTGGCACTTGGTGATCTGTTGGAGGGTGCTGGTAGCCATGGAGTGTTTGGGACAGTCCTTTTTCCGGAAACGCCTCCAGGGTCACAGGCAGGTGCAAAAGTCAAAAGCCTGATAATCCGTTGGACTGGCATGTCATGTTTGGGGCAGTTCGGCCCGAGTTCGATACATGGAGTGTATTTGGTGTGCGCATTGGGTCCAGAAAAAGAAGGATGCGGTAGAGTGGAGACATCCTGTATGACTTGGAGCTCCGAAGGGCACAGCTTGGCACATCTTCCTCCATCCAACAGACATGGAGTGGAACATGGACCCGAAAAGAAGACTCTTTTCCTCAGGTTTTCCTCTACTAATAGGCCATTATCCACTTCCATGATGGTTGGAGGGAGGCTCTTCCAGGATGAGCTGGTGTCTTCTATCCATCGCTGCGATGGGCGAGCCTCTTCCTAACTGAGGCCGAGCTTGGAAAGCCTGGCCAACGGCGCGGCGGGAAGATGAAAGGAGTGTGGGCAACAAATTGAAGGTTGATTGATCTAAACCTAGCGACATTGATCGAACTTTATAGAATGCTTGATTAGACTAGTTTGAACAGTTCGGACCATCGTGCCACATTATTTAAGTGATGATGGATGTTGATGACTTCCCTCTACCACATACAGGTTGCAACACGTTATCAGGGGATTCTGTTGTGCATTTTATTACACTTCAATGCCATCTGGCAGGGGACTTGCCTACGTTCTGTGCGGTGTTCCATGCAACTCGTGACAAAAACCACTGGCACTTGGCAATGCGGGTGAAGAGTAGGAGGAAGAGGTTGGGAAGACCACTTTTGTCGCCTCCAAGTCGCCGAGCGGTTTGGACTCGCCCTGTTGCCCGGCTCGTCAGACGTGCGCGCAGGCCAGGTACCGACCATTGAGCCTGACCACAGGCACGAAAAGCGCGCTTGGCGCTTTCATCGTTTAGTCTACTTTAGTCTCCAAATCATGTGGACTGGCTGGGTGAGGGAGTTGCATGCTTAAGCAGTCTTTTTTTAAGGCTTTCGGGAATGAGTATCTCAGCAAATGCAAGTGGTTTTCACGATGTGTGCTTTCAATTGGAGCGCATACGCATCACTTTTGCGTATTCTTGCGCACTTAGCCGCTCCCTTCTTGTTGTTTGTTCTGGGAAGACCAATCTCTGACATGTTCCATTGTCACTGGGTGCCTTCTACATGAAACGTTTGAAACGATGGTAGCTTCTTGGGAGGGCAGACCCTAAAGGTAGCTTGCACGAGCGGCCCAAACCCGGAGGGTTTCTGTATCAAGGGCATGCTATAGAGGATTCATTTTCTACAACGTTGCCGTGAATCACTTGTTAAAAGTTCTGAACGAAGCTTATTGCAGTGGTCGATACGAGCTCAGAGCTGACTTGGGTTCCCGGCCAAGAGAATCAGAAGCCAAGATGTGTTCAACATGGCACTTGTCCAACTCACATGTTAACCACTTGGAATGACTGTGCTCCAACCCTAAGAATCAAGGACCCTCAAAGGTGAAGGTTTTGAGGGTCCAAACCCCTGCTATGCAGGGTCAAAACCCTCCGTAGGAGGGTTCAATGATTCTTAGGGAAGTATAATGTCTTTTTTCAGATCAATTGGCTCGCCAGCGCCTGCGTGCTGCGCCATAAGACGCCGTGTCGGCTAACCCGGCGTCTTCCGCGGTTCGTCGGCCGCGTTCTTTTCTTCCGTCGGCCTTTCGGCAGGGAGCTTCACCAAGTGATTTTCGAGCTGGCAGACTTCTGCATGGATTACTTCCAAAGGCGCGCCAAGTGGCGCCTGCACCATGGTCCACGGAGAGACGTGTGGAATTTGGATCGGACGCTGGTGTGTGCATGGCAGGTTGGAATGGAATATTGTTTTTGTTTCGATGCAGTCAACTCCCCTGTCTTTGGGAGTTGACCCAAACATCCAGATCTGGACCATCCCCCTTTCTCCATCTTTCTCCCCGTTTGGCCTCTTTGGTCGAGGCAGCCGCGGCGGTATGCGAACCTGTGGTTTGGCCAACTGCAGGAGCATGAGGCTCGAGGTGTCCTTCTTCGGCCTTTCGAGACGAAGTGATTCAGCACCTCGGGTGTGAACTTTCCGGGAACTTACCCAGAGAGTCTCCGTGTATTGATGGATTTACCTTGGGTCTGTCCGTTCTTACCTGTAACAGTCAGTAAACAATTATTACTGTACTATTTTTGAACAAGGCCTTTACTAACCATCATCATCCACTGTTACGGGTATTAGGATAGACCCAAGGTATACCCAGAGATTGGAGGGGCTTCAGTGGTCAATGTATGCATTTCTCTTGCATTGTGGAGCCCATTTCCGACTGGTGCTGTGCCCAAACTGAGAGCTTTGGCCCGAGACCGCGCGACCAGAACGCTTGAGGCACCCGAGCGACCAGAACGCTTTGAGTAAAGTGGATGAATGAATCCGGTGATGACACTGGTCCTATACATTCCTATACCATGGCCTGTGATGTTGCCAATTCCCATCAAGATTCCCTCAGACGGTGTGTCAAAGCAAAATAGGATTGCCAAGTCTTGTAGAAGGGAGCAAACACATTTTGCGTGCTCATTTGCTTTTTGCATGGGTCAAAGGACACACCCCAACAGTCCAGATCGTCAAACCAAATTCCATTCTTTCCATCTTGAAAGAAGACTGCCCAGCAAAGTGTGGCATTTGAGCCCGCAACCCTGGTCAAGATAAGCAGAATCCTCTACCCATGCCACCCCGTTAAGCAGCTCTTGCTGTTTTGTGGCGGCTCCAAAGGTTCACCTTGCTCCTGTCGGCCGGCGCCAGGTGTTTGGCTCGGTCGCGGGCCTTCCACCCACCGAAGAGATTCTCAAGGACACAGCGACCGACCGGGGGTGCGGTCCGACGGGGCTCGACCCGGAACCGTCGCCAGCGGAGCCAGCCGAGCCGGGCTCCGCGACGCCAGCTTCGAAGCGACGGCAGCTTCCAAGCGAGGTGCTTTGGGGACGAAAGGTGGGGAGAGATGGAGTGATGGTGGGAGATGCACCAAAAACACACGGTCCAAGCATGGGGCGAATGAAAACGGGTCAACACACCAGTTTAACCGGTGCTTTAGTAACACACCGGTTTAGACTGTGCATTGGACGTTCGCTGGGGAATTTGGTTGATTGTTCGAAGCGATTAAGTGTATGGAAACAAGTAACTGATTAGCGATTAGGTGGGGACCCTGTTTGGACCTCGCTGGAAGCTTGTTCCACTCCCCATTCCTATTCGCAACATGCTGCACCAAGTAGAACGAAGACACGTAAGTCTTTTCATGCGCGTTTGCATGGAGATTTGCCGTTTCTAGCCTTCAACATGGCAGCTTTCTACAAATTATATATGCGCCTACATTTGCACTTTTGCCTTGTCGAAACTAGACTATAGCACATGTACCTGTCAACATGGTGTTTACATAGGGGTTGAATGTTTCTGCACTGACTTTTGTAAATGTCCGGTTTCGGTTTCGGTGTACAAATACGCTAAGGTGTCCTACATCAATTACCAGGTTGTTTTGAGAGGACTCTTCCATCAACACCGGGACAACTGGTGCAAATCCGGTTTGGCTTCGTCCGCCCCAAATACGCGTCCTGCTCAAACCGCCCTCCACGAGGACACATAGATAATCATATAGATAACATCCAGGAAAATCCGTCCGCGCCAGTACGCCAGTCCCAAATCTGGGATCTTGTCTAGACCGATTTTAAGGAGTTGTTTTTTGGCCAACTGCAAACCACAGGACCCTGCAGGATACCTACACAACTACTTCTAAGACATCATCCCTCACATCTCTTCTTGCTGCTCACACTGGCCGCCGCAGCCGCGCCAGGAGCTGCGGTGCCTCCGCGAAAGCGCGGGAAAGCGGCATCCGCAAGGGTGCCTGGTAAACACTGCGGTTCTGGTTTCCAAGATGTAGGATCTCTCGAAGAATCGATGAACGTGCAGTGGGTTCTCAAGAGGCTGCTCCTACTGCTACTTGTTGCAGTGAAAAGCTGGGTCCTTGGATATGATGCGAACCCCCCGAAAAGGCTTTGAAACACCTTTTGGCACATGGGCAGGCCCGTTTCTTGGCGTCCTCGGGCTTAGGCAAGACGTTCAGCCGACAGAAAAGACGAACCGCCGGATGGAGCGGGGATCTAGGCAAACCACTTGAAAGTGAGTGACTACCTTCAACATGTTCCAACTACTCAAACCGTAGACCGTCTGAAGACCATGGCTCCTTATAGGCACGAAAAAGGGATCCAAGGATCCGGTAAAAGGCTGGGCGAGCCGAGCGGGTTGTGGTTTTGAACCTCGCTTCAGGGGAATCCAAGATCCTGAGACTCTGCCTGAAGCTAGTATCTAGATTATCTAACATCTACCCGGAATGAGTAGGGATGAGTAACTAAAGATCTTTTTGTATGTTTGTTTGTTTGACAGAAACAATGATAAATATACTCATTTTCAGGTACGAAGTGGCCAGGGCAAGATTCCAGGACCAGACCTCTCTCGACTCTTCTGCCCAGACCTCGCTCTTTCTGAGACGCGCGCGGGGGTGCGCGCGGCCGGTCGTGCCCAGGTTGGGCCAGTTGGGAGGACGTCAAGGCGGGATCCGGCCTGTCGCTTGATTCGGACGGTGTTGGAGGCCTCCCCGGTAAAGGGAAGGTAGAGATCTTCCCCTATTCATCCCTATTCCAAGGCACACCCATGTCAACATCTTTTCTATGTTATTGTATGTTATAGAATAAAACTTTTTTGTTAAATTGTTTCCACAGAGTCCATTACCATTACCATCAAAGTTCACGGTTTTGCCTACAGAGTTCATTTCCTTGGCTACTGGATGCTCCCTGGTCGTGAGCGTTTCTGCCAGAAACTTGGCTGGTTGCACTGTCGAGTTTGAAGAGATCGCTCAAGGATTTCCTCGCCATCGCAGCGCCCGCTGCCGCACAAGGTGGGCGTTTTGCCGCAGAAGCGCATGAGCATGAAGCCACAGGCAGGGCCGGAGGGGTTTTCTTTGGATAGACCCCTGGATTGGTCGGTCACCGAAGATAGACAGAAGGCAGCTGTACTATGCCTTCTTCTGAATGATTTGCAACTTCAATTCTGCATGGCTGCATGGGATTTTGGTAATCTCACAACCCAATGAGATTCCTGATATACGGTATTTGCGGTGTTAAACAATCTCTTCCAACCAGAGTCCCAACCCCCGTTCCAAGGATTTTGGGTATCTTTCAATCGAATCATTCGAGCGACCAACAACCCAGGATGAGCGGCAAACTGTGACAGACTCAAGTCCTGACCTAGAAGTTTCAATTTGTTATTTGTTTCGTTTATATAGTTAAAAACAGATAGGTCAGGTCAAGCAAAGCCTTAAAAAAGTCAGCCCCAGTGATGACACATACTGCAAGTACAGATCATTACCCCCAAACAACAGAGCTGTACTTGTTTACTTTGGAATTCTGGAAGACTGACAGCGAGTAATGGCTTGAAAACAGGAGAAGCTGCCAAGGCACCAGATTCTGTGTGCTTGTTCCTCCGACCATGGCAGATGCTTTCCATACAACTCATGGATTTTTTATATTCTAGTCTACTTTTCTTTTTGCATCATAAAATCCCTATTTTCGCACATCACTCATCATCCCCGCCAATTGAGACCCCACTGCCAGCGCCACGCCCGACTCGCCGCCAGGCCGCACCCTCTCCACGCCACCACCCGTGGCACGTCCTCCGGCACCCGTGGCACCGGCCGTCGCGGCCGGCTCTGCGGGCTATCCGGCGGCCTCGGGGAAGGCCCCCCGATTGCCAGGCCGGGTGAAGCGGCGGTGTTTCTTTGGATAGCTATATATATATATATATATATAGGTTCCACGTCGTTTTTGTTTTTTTCAGAGCGGATGAACATGGATGAAGCCAGACACTTGATTTCAGTGTAACTGCAGGTGGCCTGTGCTGGTGACGTGGTGTTTTGTCGCATTTTTCGGTGACTGGGGTGTCAGTGCAGTGATTGCGCACTTGCAAGAAATCCATTTTTTGCATCCACAATTTGATCTAGATCCGGGAACCGTACTGTATTAAGTCTATGGCATGTCGTTCGAGTCTTTGCCGTCTCTTTTGGCCCTCACGCCACTCCGAACCTTCGGGTCCGGACTCGGGCGGCCACCCGACGTCTCCGGAAGCCCCGAGCGGAGGGCGGTCGTGCGGCGGCGCTATGTGCTCCATGGGACTGGAAGAGGCAACCGCAGCTATTGACCCCAGTCAACCACCCCAATGTATGTAAATAGTGTCCCATGGAGTGGGTCTGGTACCCACCGCCGACCAGTCCTGGCCTTGGACGAGTGGGGATGGCAGTCGAACATCCATCCGTCAAAGAGCTATAGCAGCTGATTGGTTCGTAAAACACCAATAGAAGACAATGGTTGACCAGGAATTCCAGGGATATAACAACTCCTTCGATTGAACGGCTTCCGTTTTCTCCGGATGTGCTACCACCCGGTACCACACCCGACTTCAAAGCGACGTGACCCTGCAGCCGACCGTGGCTCCGTTCGATCGCTTCCTGCTTTCGGCGGCAGGCCGCAGAGGCGGCGAGCGTGAGGCGGATGGAGTGGGACGAAGTGGGGAGAGGCAAGAGACCCATAGAGACCCCATCCAGCTTGGCTTGAAGGACTTGGGGTAGAAAGGGATCCGGGATACACTACCACCTGATTTTGCGGTTGGCCCTTCGAATATGATGTTTAAAACAAAATGTTTACATTCTCTTACACCCACTAAATCTAAGACTCAGAGGAGCTCGGAGGTCTTTTTTTTGGTTGGCGGCGGTTTTTCTGACGTCAGGACCTCCCATCCAATCCGAACTTGGAACCTGCAGAGATGAAGTACAGCAGAGGACCCACGTGAGTGGTGGTTCTTCCTTGCGCTGCAAGGTTGCAAGGTGTGAAACGACGCTGAAAAAGAACTGTTCTCGGTGTATAGTTTAACAAATCCCGGTTGGACGAACTGATATGGACTGACATGGACTGATATGGCACTTGGTTCGGATGTCTTTGGAATGAACATCCTGGAGATGATGAATTAGAGTGAACGGCTGCACAAGAGCAAGCATATGCAATCTCCTTGATGTAAGTCTATGACAGTGGTTGAGGCATCGCATCGTGCGAAGCAATATATTCTTATGATGTATAAGGGGCAAAAACATATCCTATGTTCGGACCTTCGCTCGAACTTTTCCACTGCAGTTAACCCGTTTGTTCTTTGTTTCCCAAACGGGGGGGCGTTTCAATTGGCCTCTTCTCGCCACGTGGCAAGCGTCGTCCGATTGCCACAGCCAGGGAGCCTCGGTGTCGCCACGCGCTGGGAGGCCGGGAGGGTGTCGCCCACCGCGGAGCTGGGGCGGGGCAGGGCGGCGAGACCGGGGCGAGGGGAGGCGAGGGCACGTGTTTTTCATCTGCGACAGGAAAGAGCCCAGATGTGGGTCAAAAATGGGGGCACAGGTGGCCCTGACCGAACATGATTTTCTCAGAGACTGCCAGACATGGTCAAGCAAGCAGGGTTTTGGGGTAACATGAAGAGCATCTATACTCGCTCGCGCTCTTTTTCCACTTGAGCCAAAGTAACGAAGTGCATACCCGATTGACCTGGTTTCTGGTGTCGGGTCTTTGGTTGATGGACCTGTGGATCTATGATATACATCGGATGATCCGTCCATTCCTGTGCTGACTGAAAGTGATCAGACTCACCCAAAATGCATTGAAAGCGCTGCCAAAAATAGCTTAAATGCTACAGCTTGGCTTCCAAATCTCTTGGCCTTTACATATGGGATTCCACGGAGTTGAACTCTGGTGGAGTACTTATCAACGTAATGATTCCATGCAACACTGTTCAGCATACATAGAAAGCGTACATCATCCAGCACGGATGGAGCTGCACAACCCCCCATCCTGAATGGTTTGCATGCAAAGAAATCTCCACAACTCATCGGAACATCTAAATCTGCATTCCAACAATCGAAACTGCAATTCTGCAATCAATCAAGGAACTAGGACCGGAATACAGTGGATCTCAGCAAAAAGAAGAGCTTGAAACACTCAAATTCATCCCATCCACATCTTTCTCTTCTTTACCATGCAGTTGGGACAAACAAGAAAATCTTCCATCGAAAGCGATTGCTTGTATTGACACAATCCATTCATGTGTGCCAATCTTGGTGAATCTGATCCTCTCGGAGGCCAATCACCGTGGAGCTCCATTCCATGGATCGCACGTGAAAAATTCATGCAATCACAGCATTGAAATCCAGCAATCACATTTTGTTGAAGCAAATTGGTGCAATGCTCAAAATGAATGAACCCATTCCAATCTCCAACCAATCGGGTTCTCTCCTTTACAGGCGCTGGTTCATACGAAGTGGCTTTCAGCCTTCGAATCGAACTCGAGGCATCTGCTGCTTCGGATACATCTGGCCTTCCATGAACACTGCTTTGTTCAGCTGCATTGGATACTCCGGATACTCCAGTAGACATTTCAGCTGTTACCCTGTGTGATGAATGACCCATGGTGGGCAAGAAAATGGGTCGATGTTTTTTGGGGGAGTTGGTGAGTCCCAGAAATATTGTGTACGCTGGAGTTGTTAGTTGATCTGTACATATCAAAATACTGTAGTATCTGTAGTTGGGGGAGAGGGCAGATACGCTGGTATGAAGGTGTGTGTCCGGTAAATACATAGGTCCTCAGAATGTGGGACCGAGCGAGTGAATCTTGGATGGACCTTCTCCCCAGAGGGCGGCGGCCGAAGAATCCTACATGTTTTCGACCCACATGCCTCGGCCAGGGAAAAAATTGGGTCCTTGACACCCATGGGTTCTTGTACTGTAAGTCTTTGAGATAGAGCAAAAGATTGGAGCTTCTCAGAGTGATCCCCTTTGCCATCCCCTAATCAAAGCAGAATGAACAGATATATCGCCCTTACACAAGCTGGCATCTTGGCAGAAAGCCAACCAAGACACATTCGTGCTCACAATCTAAACCCGTGAAGCCGTCTACGTTCACACTTGCCAGACTACGTTCTTTTTCACATGACGAACAACACCCATAGGAAGAAGATGTCCTCAGATCCACTGGTCCACAGGCAGCTGACGTTGGAGTAGATGGGCACCCACCAGGGCCAGATGGGCACCCACGGCCCCCAAGTTCACAGATGGACGGTCCATCTGTCAAAGATATGGAGGGGGTGCCTGCGCTATCGAACCGAACCCCACGTCTCGCTCCCCTGCCGACGAGCAAGGGAGCGACACCGAGAAAACCCACTCGACCACAGGGACCGGTCCCTGGTGGTTTTTACGCATTTTTTTGGACCTGGGATCCCTTTTTGGGGGGTTAGAGAACATGTGCTGGGTGTTGAAAGGATCGGTTTTGGAATTGGATGTTCGTTGTTTTTGTTTTTTCCTGTGGCATTTGTGGAAGATGTTGGGTTTTTGTTCACGTTTGCAAGCAAGCAATATGCAGCGAATCTCTGCCAGGGCGTGCCCCGGAACGTGACATGTAGCACATGAAATGCACATGAATGTGAGTTGCACACGCCGGCTTTAGAAGCCGCTTTAGAAGCGTTTATGGGAACTGGCGCGAGAACTGGCGCAGAATGCCTGCCACAAAGCTGCACGTGTTTTGGTCATAGGATTCCAATCTGCAGATTGAGCGATGTAAGGAGGGAACGTGGGCCTTTCCTACATAAAATTTCCTGTAGAACATGAACACCTTTAGGACCTTAGGATTCAATACTTCAGCCTCAAAAAGCCTCCTAACAGGTGGCACATTGACGAGAATTGGATTGCGCACAAGACGGCGCAGGGTCGGGTGGTTGCCAGTGCCGGGTAGCCCAATGGCCGTTCAATGCTTCTCCTGATTGATCATATGGATTTTCTTGGATGAGATTTACAACTACGCCTTCTATGGGTGTTGATGGACGAATCCAGCCGCTTTTTTGTTAAATGGATCATATCAAACTATCCTACTGTTCACACATGTTCACATCACCTTCACACCATATCCGTTGTGTGGGGGATTGCCATACATCGAGCCCTCCAGTATAGCGATGTGATTCCATAGCCGTCTTCCAGCGAGTGAGGTGGCTTGGTCATACTGGACTCACATGGTGCCACATCGAAGGAGCGCAACCCTGACCCAGCAGCGCCCCTGAATCTTGGGTGCTCATTTTCACATCACTCACATCACTCATTTCAGAGGTGACAGTTGGGGTGTCAACCACCCACCTGGCCTTTGGGGTCCGTGTCCAGCCCTAGCAGCACTTTGTCTGCTCATCGAGAACCCTCTCTCAGGTCCAATTGGATCCATCCAAACAGGGCATGCTGGCGCCGGAAGGCGGGGCCAGCGACCAAGCGACCAGAAGAAAACCCAATGGAAAACCAAGGTACCAAGGGACTGCACTGCTGGGAAACCTTTCTAAAACACCATAAAGAGCACCCTGATATCACCGAGGCGAAAACTGTTCCAAAAAAGGAACACACATCCAAAATTTACATTGCAATCTTCCTTCTCTCTAAAGCCTTGGTTCGTCAGGTTCTGTGATCAAACCCTCAAAAGCAGAACAAAGACTGTCACACTCTACCATCTCCAAGCCTTTGAACATACAAAATCCCTGCCAAGTGCTTAAACTCTTGATGAATCCCCCCACCTGGATGGTCTTGTTGATCCCTAGGCTGGGCGCAGCGCTTCGATCGCCGCGAGCACCAGATCCGCATCGGCAAGGCCGGTCGACCGAATGGTGGCGCCCAGCCTGGTGGGCTCGCTGAAGGGCTGGCAACCGGGTCAAACGGGTCAAACGGGCAGTTCCGTGCGGCGAACTTCAGTTGGGTGAAGCCCTGCCTTTCTCTCGACTGATCAAGTCACTGAAGATCTTGTGAGTTTTTTCTTGACCTGTTGGGGACTGTCTTGGGGATCGTTTCGACACAAGGGGTCCCCAAATGTCACTGATGTTTCTGCATCGACCTCGCATCGGGGGTCCATGGCACCACCCGACTCACCTCCTCCGCTCGATGAGGGACTCGCGCGCGCAGCGGAGGGCACTCGAGAGTATGGCCGCTGGGAGAACTATTTCCTCCGCTATGGGCGGAGCGAGGCGAAGGGTTTGACCCCACGTTTGGGTCGATTGGGCGAGGAGCACGGGCTGACCAGGGTGAGGCAGCATCTGGGAGAGACACCTAAGGACATGTTCTGCAGGTCCACCTGACACGTACCCAATTCCATCGATGACTCTGTCGGGATGACTATACATATGATGTCTTTACAACTCACCCAGGATTTGGGGTGGTCTCCAGAGGATCTACAAGCACCCTCCAACATGTCACCACCTGCCACTTTTAAGTCTCGAAAAGCCTCCATTTCGGAGACCTGTATTGAATAGGGTGCTGGTATATACAGTGGCCAACGAACAGAGAGGAGAAGGCTCCAGCACCACCCAGTTCGGGCCAACTGCTGGGGGGTCCCTAAGCTTCCACAGCTTTGGGGTGGTCCTGGCTGACATGGGAGGGTATATAGACCCGCAAATAGATAGAAAAGTGGATCCCCACCGAAAATGTATTCTCAGGTGTTTCATGACAAAGAACTTGTGACATGTACCTTGAATTTCATGCGGCTAAGTCATGAGGATTTGCCCTACGTCCAAAAGTTGTATGTCATGAATCATGAAGCAAGAGCTTGAACAAACATCAAAATAAGAGAGGCCAGAGGTTGTCACCAACGATCTTGAGAACCGGCATCATGACCTAAGACTTTGGTATCTAAACAATGGAAAACCACTGGATACATAGGAATTTGATAGCGAACACCTATAAAGGAAAACCACACATAGTGACGTTTCTATGACATGTTCTCTTTCATTAGCTCTAATCTTCCAGGACGAGGACCCCAAAAAAACAACGATGATGACCGGGTCGGAATGGCCTATGTCATGAGTGCTTGCCACTGAAATTGTACGTTTTACACTTCTACATGACTTAGACCTTTGCTTGGGAAAGTTTGTCATTGCAACGCACTCGGCCTAAGTCATTTGATCTGACCTCAGTATATTTGGGGACCACTATAGCTTGTTTGTTCACCACATCTGCAGGGCGAGCCGGTGACGCCCCGCGCGGTGCAGCAGACGGCGAAGGCCGCCTTCGAAGCGGCCACTTCCATGCAGCGGATAGTAGTGCAGAGGGCGGCCATGGGGGGAGAAGGTAGTTCCACCATTCACAATTTAGGGATCCACTGGCACCTTCAGAGGTTCGGTACGACTGGGCCTTTCGCCGACATCAACAGTTTCGCACGGCCGCAGCACGTCGGGTCCACTGGGCCGGTTTGGACGACATGTTATCTGAAGGTCTTCCTTCGTTTTCGGTTTGGAAGTCGGTGGGGGGTGAAGATATATGACATGGACATAGGCAGTGGTTTTGATGCACATGTTGTTTTCTTCTTCCTGAGTCATCTCAATTCAGTATGATATATTTTACAATATAATATGGTATTTAACAAATCATGTCTGTAGTTTTTTCTATTGTGAATCAAGCACCAAATTTCTCCAAGCCTATGGGCTCCCTGCTCGTCTGAGGAATACACGGCCTGGCGTGTGCAGCTGCGCCTCGGCGTGCCGAGAAAGGAAGCGGTCCAAAGGTCAAAGAACAGCAGACCATCCAAAAGAATGGCGGGATCACATGGCTTGGGTCAAACCTGGAGCCCTAATCCCTGCGGGAACAGTCAGATGCTTTTCGGATCATTGTACAATATCTCCAGAGTTTTTCTGGTGAACCTCTGGTGCCGACATTTTCAAAGACGGGGTCCTCTAGCCTCACGAAAACAGGTTCGGGACGTACCAAAAAAAAGGTGGCTTTGCTCATCGCCCGATTCCAAACCCTGTAGCCGTTCAACAGACACTTCATCGATTCTGATCTTCAGAGCGAAAACCACCATGTCTCGTTCCGATGGTCTCGTTCCGATGGAACTCTGGTGTTTTTTCTCTTCCCAGCCAGGACGGCCATATCACTCACATATCGTCGCAGCAAAAAGAGACGAAAGAATGTCGGTGCCGATGCCCCCAGCCCCGAATTATATAGATCTGTCAAGAACATGACGCTTTTCTTGGTTTCGTGAACGTATACCTTAAGATGTGTTGCGCGGAGATAGATTCGGTTTCACGAGATATCCCCGGCACCGGACGGATGTGACGTCGGCATCCGGGTGCCATGACCCGGTCGGCCACCATCTCTTCAATTGGTGACTCCCAAAATGGGTTTCAAGTCGGTCACTGTTGTTAGTTAGTCACAAAGGGGTGCTATCTATGGAGGTTAGGGGTGCCCAGAACATCCACTCACTTGGGGACCAAACACCACCCCGAGCTCTGTGACTCCTGGTTGTTAGTTAGTCTTAGTCTATTAATTCAATTTGGTTTCGACTCCACAGCTGTCGATCAGTTTCTCTTGGATGATATACAATTCCCCTGCCCTGCTTTAGATGATATGCCCTCAAGTCCAGTTCGACCATATTGGCACCAGCGAAGTAAAGCAAAGTCCTTTTCGGATCACCTCAAATCTTCGTGGACTCCCACATTGTACGAACCTGGCGGGAGCTGTGCATTCTGACATCACTGCAAGGTCTGGCTAAAAGATGAGGAAAAACACTCCCCGGTGGGACAGATTGGCCGAAAGCAATCAGATCACTGGTCGATCGTGAACCATCTGCGCCCTCCTGAGGCATACCAATCCTCCTGCATGAGCGAATTTGATGAATTTGGAGTGGCAATGCATGTGGATGTCCTGATGATGAGTTGGATGTCCTCATCGTGAGAGGCTCAGATTGACCAAAAGAGGCCATCACCCTACCTAGCCGTAGCCTTCAAAGACCATCAATAGAAAGCTCGACCTGGTTTTACATGGTTTTACAGTCCAAAATCCCACGCACAACAATGGTTCTTGGGCCTCCCACAGATATCCAGGGATCAGATTTTTCAGATTATTGGGAGGCACGTGCCGAAACGGACATCCGGCCATCGGCCAAGAACGGACCTTTTCTCTTGACGGTCCTTCCGAAATGCTGGGCTGGCGGGATCATCCCGGGTGATTCCGGTGATGTGATCGAGCCATTCGAGCCACCCACGTACGTCGTCCTTTCACACGGTCGATCGGGAGATCCTCGCATGTTTCTCCGGTGAAACAAGCATTTAACTGGTTTTACATTGAGAAAGAACCATGCCATGCATGAGATTCTGAAGGCAGAAACTTCACTTTGCTGCCCTTTGTTGGGGAATGCAGCTTGGATCTCTTTGATGGGGAATACAGCGGCCTGGCCACCTGGGTGACCAGCGCGAGAGATGGGGAACCCGCGTGTTGGGTCGCACCGGGGGTCTCCGTCACCGGTTGACCGGTCGCTTCTGCGAACCCAAAGGCCGCGGGAGCACGGCGGGTTCGCACGGGTGGAGCGGCGGGTGGAGCGGCGGAGAAGCGAAGAAATGGTGCTTGGGTCATGTGCCAGAGATTCCGAGAGTATTGGGTACCAGGCGTCGAATTTCTGGGTGAGGAGCTGGTAGGATTGGCGAGGTTTGTGAGCAGATGCTGCATGGGTACCTGCAGCACCACACCCAGGTTTCTTTCGGTCTTTTGGGTCCTTTTGGATCCTTTTGCTTGGGGGAATCCTTTGCGCATCTCGCGCACCACACCCTTTCCGAAGCGAAGCTCGAAGCGAAGCGAAGCTCGAAGCCGAAGTTCGCGGAGCTCGGGAGACTGCCCGGGGCCGGTCGACCCGGTGGATCTCCGAAGAGACCGGAGACCAACCCGAGACCCGGAACCACCGATGCCGCCGAGACCCGGGCGGTTTTGGGGGTTGTTTTGAGACGACGTTGGTGCGGGATGAGATGCTTATGTGGAAGAAGATACGTGTATAACACGTGGGAGGGGACGTGTTTTTCGAGCGCAAGACATGCATGGGTGACTTGGCTCAAGAGTGGATGATGTGTTGTAGAGTTATATTACACTTATATAGTTGCCCCAGGCATCCCCAGGCAAACATGATGATAGGAGGCATTTTTCGATCCATTCCCCAGAGGATTTTGAAGGTCTGAACATGCGAGTACAAAGTTTGACGATGCGAATACATTCTCTCCTTGGTCCAAGAGAAGTGTCCACAATCTATTGTTTGAAATGCAATGGTCTGACTATACAGGTGACCCAAGTTCAGGAATGTTCTTTACTTTGGTGGTGCCAAAGGTCTAGAACCTAGCCCAAACATGTCCAAACTGGATTTGTGAAGAAACAGAAAACAATAGTTGTTGTTGGGGGAAGAGTTCTTGTACTTCGAGGACACCCCGTTCAATCCAGAGGACATCACTATGAACCCATGAAGCGCATGAAGGAACTGGGGCAGATTTCGCAGCGGGGGAAGACCAACCTGGAATCATAAACGCCATGAACTTCGCAGCAAATTGTGTACACTGCGTACCTCTTTACATCCTCTTTGCATCCCTTTCACATTCTTTTACCCGTCGCGGGTCTCGCACCCGATGACGACCTTGGGGAAGCATCACAATGCGGTGGGCCAGTCGGGGCACTTGGTGAACAGCAATCGATGAAGTGGAGTCAATCGTTTGGCACCTAATCAACGGCTGTGTGGCTGCAGGTATATTGATATAGCCCGTCAATGATTCTTTATAAAATGCAAGTCATTTGACGCTGAAATGCGTTTTGGGTCCTCATTTTATGGAGAAGGCATTGTTTTTTAGTTTTGGACATCTTATAGAGTCGTTTTTTGTTTGTTCTGGTGGCCTTTGGCAATGCTTCGTTGAATCCTTGACGCATTTGGCATCGGAGTAGCGTGCGTTTTTAGATGTACTTTGTTTCTATGGTACTAGAGATTTGGTCTGGCATTTTATACCATCAATGCGGTGAGAGCAGTTTATAGAGAACTTAGGTGCTGACATGTTTGGCATGTCACTTCTATGTTGTCATGCATGGTCATTCGTGACTGAATGTTATTTATCTGGCTTTTCATTTTATACAGATCTTGGGATCTGGTTCTATCACTTTATTAATAGAGGCTACTCTTGTCCGTCCCTAACCAGAGCTTCATTGGGCTTGGCATTTGATAGAAACACCCTTGCCAGTTATTTTATTATGAAGCTTATATCTCTTGCCATCCATTTTATGGACATCATTTCTCTATATATAGTCGGAGTCCCAACCATCATTCGCGCCTGTATCGGGGTGCAATTTTTGCTCTATATATAAGGCGTCTGGATGAATACCTGATTTGACTAGGATTGAGCACTCGTGCGTAGATTTGTTCATCGCCCTTTCACTAGTGGACGTCGAGTGCACCCCAGGCCTCTTTGAACCGTTTCTATGAATGGCTGGAAGAATGAACATCTTAGCTTCCTTCAAACCGTAGGAGGCATTCAGGAAATGAGCAACTTGTGCTATTCCCCATAAGGCCCGTTAGTTGGTTCCTTGTCTTTTGGCTTCCCAGCACCCACTGCCGGTCACCAGCCGTCCCTGGTATTCTCAAACAAATTCAGCATCACCCATATCATTCTTCGGATAATTACGTGCCCTTCACACTTGTCTTGTGAAACCCGTATTTTCCTATATTTTGTTTGTGCTCTTTCAACAGGCCATGCCAGATGTCATCCACTTTCATATTCGTTGCGCCCAAAAACCGCCTAAACCTGCGCGGCGGATTTTCCATCGAATCCAGCCTCGCGATGCCTCGCTCGAGGTATGCCTCACTGGGGAGCGAAGTCTTCTTCCAAGAGTTCGGCTCCGACTGGACGTCTTACAGGTCCCACAGATCCAGGGAGCGCGTGCCGTCGTGGGCCGTGCACGACGGACGGAACGCGCGATCGGTGTCCTGGGGTCGCATGAACGAGAGTCTGGTCAGGCCAATCTTTCATGAGATTCGGGCTTCGGGCTCTACCAAATTTGCATTGTTTGATCTTGTTCTATTCATTCGTGCTGGCATTTTGGGGAGTTGCAGATCCCACACTCAGTTTGATGATCATCATCTTTCATCCGTGCTCTGAGGACCTCAATTTTGATGTTTTCATCTGACACTGTTTCGAGCTCCGAACCGATTTTTTTTGGGGTGCAGACTCCCAGGTGCCCCTCCCCCTCCCACCGGGGAACGCCAGGTCGGCGCGGAACCGGCGGCGCATCGACTTCAGTGGCCCCAAGTGGCGCCGTGGTGGAAGGAAGTGGCAGGTGACTACCGCTGTGGTTGGGTTTGTGTGGGTTGGATTGAGGGGCCTTCTGCTGTTATGCTGACTGTGAAGCTGTGGTTGGGTTTGTGTGGGTTCTTATTAGCGGGTTTATTTTGCCCCTGGATGTTGTTGGATATTGGGAATGAGCTGTTTGGCACATCCACCGTCCTGTATCATCACCGACCATCATGTCTTCTTAAATGTGCACTGCAGCACTCTCTTCTCTTCAAACAGGTACGAGTTGGAGATGATTTTGGCACTATCAAAGTGTACACGTGCTTGCTTCAGCTTGACAGGTCTTCATTTGAACATGTTTGGAGGTGATGTTGGCACCTCCTCCTCCTCCTCCTCCTCTTCGTCCCCCTCTTCGGTCACGAAAAAACTATCTACATGGCTGTCGCACCAAAACCATCAATGATTCCTGTTCATCACTTCTGGGCACATCGGAACATTTACCGTCGAGTCTTTGATACATGTCCAAGCAGATCACCGGCATCACCGTCTAGCCCCGAAGTTACATGGGGGGGGTTACATAGGGTTAGACACGGAAGGATCAATGAACGTCCTCCAGAAATCCGGAGTCGGCGAATCAGCTCGGCGACGAATGGGCGCTTGGACCGCATCCAGGGTGACAAAAAGGGAAGGCAAACAATAAAGTACACATCAACACCTGCAGCGCTTTGATTGTTGACAATCACTCATCCAGACATACGAAACACAGGAAACACAGGGCCCTGAAAGTCGATGGTCGACAGTCGACATCGAATCTTGGGTGTGGAGAATCAGATCTCAGATCTTGTACCCTCTGCACGACCAGTTTCATCGAGAAAAAAACCGTTCAACCACCTCAACTCGTGGCCTAGTCACCAAGCCCCCCTCCAACAAACGTCGAAGTGGACAAAATCCACTGGCTTGTAGAGGAAAAGGGTCTTTCCAGGGGGTCATTCGCCACTTCGATACTTGTTTTCAGGGTATCTCGTAGCAACTTCACCACCTTCTCCATCTCCATCATCTGAGGAGCTTAGAGACGCTGGGGGGCCCTGAAGGCGGTCTCATGCATAAGCAGTTGATCCGCGAGCACATCGACGCTTGGAGCCGATGCGTGTCTCGCGAACCGGGTCCGATTGGAGCGGAGCTCCAGGGGTGGGGCGGTCCATGGAGCAACTGCGACATGGAGCAGTTGGTTCGGGTCCAAGTCGCCTTTTGGGCAGGATGGATTCGATGGATGGATTCGATGGATGGATTCGATGGATGGATGGATGGATGGATGGATTCACCGTTTCGCTGCTTGATGTGGCAGTATACTGACCTTGGTGGGGCCACAGAAGAATCCTCAAGCCAAACGTTTGGGTGAATATCCCGAGTGCTGTTTTTGGATTCGTTGGGACAGGAAAAAGACCTAAACTTGGCAAAGAACACAAGGCTTGTGTTTGATGTCCCCGTCTCAGACCACCCCAGCTTCATTAGCGATCCTTTTATTATCATATAATAATTGTCAAAACAGCGATGCTTTGCTCATGCAACAAAAATACCACCATCAGAATTCCCAATCAGATCGTCTATGCCATTGAATCCTATGGGTGCAGCAAAATTGGGCGAGCGCCGAGGAGATCCTCAACTTGGCAAAGAACAAGTTGACAGACATCAGCTGCGTGAACGCCATGAAGGCAGCTGGGACAAGATAGGGTGTAGCTCAATTAGGGAGACCCAGACGTCCTGACTCCCTGGAAGAAGGGAAATAGACCAAAACCCATTGGTTGGGGGGTCTCCCTATTAAAGTGCACACCCATGGATGGCAAAACCATGTATATAAGACCTCTTCATATGATCATATGAGCAACTTGTCAAAACACGGTCTGTAGAGCAGAAGATGTGAGCGGCCTTCAACCTCGAGAATTTGCAAACACCCAGCCCCCCCAAAAGCGATGCCCCACCAGAGCTTCTAGGATGAACATGTTCCAAGTGTATTTGCTCGACAGCTTCTTGATTTGAAAGGGAATTCCACATGTTCTTGTGGCATGGATGCTTTAAAGAGGTAAGAGATCAAGCCTTTGCAGCAGTCATCTCCTGTGGGTCAAAACTCGGGGATTTGAAGCGATACCCTTAGCCATGCCTAAGTGATACCCTAAGTGATGCCCTTGATCAAGCCAGTCCATCACTTACCCACTTAAGCATAGTCAGCCAACAGAGATGTTGCGGTAACAGCTTGGTGAGTGCTTTTAGCTGCTTGCAAAGCTCTTCTTCAGCTGAGCTTGGCTGTTGCCTTCGACTCCAGTGAAGTTTGTTTGTTTGTCTTCTTTGAGAGCTTGTGCTCATACATACACGTGTTTGGTTGAAACCTGCCCGTTCTTCCAAGAAAGCAATGCCATGCCGTTCTTCCAAGCCGTTCGGTCAAATGGTGCAGAACTGAGGAAAGCGATGGCCCCCCGCTTTCACATGTGATGGCATGAGATTAAACTAAGGAGTTTTCACAGCCACACAGAACTGGGGGCGGTTCTTCATCAAGATTCTATTCTACATTAAAACCATCATCGACAGACATGACAATGATATGTGTGTGATGTTCTTTCTATCTTTTTTAAACACGGACGCAAACAGCACGTTTTTCCTGTAGTGTGGATCTCAAAGACACAGCGCCTCCCGGTCAAACCCGCAGCTGACTCCCCGGTGAACGTGCGGACGGCTGACCCGAACGTCCCGCTGTTTCAACGCGGTGGAGTTCATCGGCAGGACACAAGAACCTTTGAGTTCCGCAGACTACAGATCCTCAATACCTCCAGGCTGGACACAGATCGTCAAGACTTAGACCAAAAAAGCCACTCCGGAGGTCGGTTTGGACGGGCGGTTTGGACTCCATGGTTTGGATGATCTTGGAGATGCTTTTTCTGCCACATGCTGTGTTCCAAGCTGCGCGAAGAACTACGAACTACTCACGCGATGCGGGAAGAGACCAGATCGAAGAGCGCTGCTTCAGACAGATCCGTTTCGATCTGGGACCCGAAGGTTTTTCAGACCGAAGAGGTGAAGCATCTAGGGCTAGGGCCACTAGGGCCAGCACTAGAGGTTGAAACCAAAAATGGGATCCGAAACAAGACTCCGATTTTCGGTGTTTTCTTGGGCAGACAAAGAGCTTGTTGGAGCCTGGAATTCCCAAGCAGCTTTTGCAGAGAATCGGAAGGAACCGCTTGAAAAACATTCAAAGGTCTAAGGTTGCAGAATTCAAACACCCTGGTCCCAGGGCGGGTTCGTAGAAGCACGAGAGTATAGGCGCAGATCCATGAATCATGATCTCGAGGGCATGGTGTCTCAATTTACTAGAAGCCACAAGTCTCTATGCCGATGAGGCAAAACCCCAGAATTAGTTTTGTTCTTCAAGGTAATATCATTGGATGCTCCGTTTTTGTTTTCCAATCACTTCTACAAAAATTAAAATGCCCGCACATCTTTAGAACTTCATTTTAGAATATACCCCCTTCGGGGGGATGTGATGGTTCTTTTTCTTCAGCACCTGATGGGCTCAGATGGAGCTCCATGCAGCCGCGGCGTCCGACCGTGCGTCCATTCCGGTGGCATCGTCCGCAGGAACATGTTGACGAAGGTGAAGTTGGTGAATCCCAGCGCCTGGGACAGCGCTTCGTCCGGCGCGAAGCGCGCGGCGGACGCGGGTTGTCCGGTGCCACCCCACTGGGTGGACGGATTTTTTAGGCGTCGCGGTGTGAGAAGATGGACCATGAGAGGAGTTTCTTCATGAGGTAAGAGATGTCGGATGGATTTCAGGTGATTTTGGACCCGGCCAAAAGTGATTTTCTGAATTCAAAAAAAGTGTTTGGTGATGATGCCTATGAGGAAGCTAACAGGACTGAGACTGCCACAGAGGTACCCTCTCATTCAAGCAGATTTCCAAAGGTTTCAAGATGAAAATCCGGGAAATTCAGGAAAGCAATCACCGGTTTGCAATCATTTTCAACATATTAAGTTGTTGTTCTTCTGGAGAATGACTTAACTTGTTGTATCAGTTCTTCCACTGGAGAATGACTTAACATATTTTAACACTTGTATCAGTTTTAGTCACTACCGCAATCTGGTTCCAATCCACACATCATCCGGAGTTCCTCCAATTCAATCTGGGGATCCCAAGATCATCCGCTATTGGAATTTCTGGTCTTCCTGGCCCACCATTCCCGTACACCTTTGTATGGAATGTATGCCTTCATTGACCACCAAAACACACCAAATGCAGGCCATATTTGTTTTCATGGAGCGTTTGGGATTGATTTAATATCCTGACTCCTGAACAACCAGCTGTTTGACGGATTTGTTGACTCCAAAACCAGGTCAACCGACCCCTTTGAATGGCCGAACTCAAGGCTAAGGGGACTTCATAGACGATTCCAGCGAGTTTTGTCGGATCATGGGCAATATAGGCACCCTGCTCCTCCCATATAGGCGCCCTTCAAACATGGAGCTCCTCGTTTGATCAGGCGTCCAACACCACGGCGGGTGGGAAATCCACCGTCCACCCATGGGGGGGGCCAGTTGTTCTGCATTGGTTGCCTTTCCCTTCGATTTCTTTTGGTGTGAAAATCCATCCAAACTCTAAGAATCCCTAGGACTGCAATATTTATCTGCATGGCTAGGTGGTTTGGAGATGGTTGTGAGGCACAAATTGTCCATCGGCTAAACCACCACGTCCGTCCCCATCGGAGTTTCTTCGGAAAACGGTGGCTTCGGGGGGGCTTCGGGGGGAGCTGAAGACGCCGTCTTCAGACCGCCAGGCTTGACGGAGATCAACCTGAGCCACAATGAGTTGGTGAAGCTTCCGGTAACTTGGGATCGAATCCCTCTTCGGGGGGGTTGGCTGAGGTTTGACAGACAGCTTATACAGACTAGGACAGACAGAGTGGGGTACGCGCAAGACTTGGACACACAGTGCGCACTGTGTGTGTTTTTCAGAGGTACCAGCATGTGGACTCTTAGATGAGTATTGATGCTCTCCAGATGAAGAGGTTTGGATTGGCAGGTTTTCTCCATTTGATGGAGGACTTGGTGTGAACATAGACGAACATTTTGCACACCAAGCACGAACAAAGAAAAGGAAACGCGAGTTTCTCTCGCTCTTCGTTCCTAGGGTGTCCTGGATTCGCACGGTCTTAGTGGTGAACCTGAGACGGGCTGAGACCTCAGCAAGTCTGCGGCTTCCGACCACTAAACGACCATCTGCGTGGTCCATAGTATAGTCAATTCTGGAACAATGGGAGAGTCACATCCCCTCGTGGAGGAGGATTCGCTGTGTTGTTTCCGAACATTTTTTTGACCATTTTGTTATCATATACTGGACCTTCAAGGGGTGTCCAATGGAGGTCCCTTAGTGGTGGGCTGGGGCTTCCAGCCAGGTGACCCCGACATGAAGGTGCTGGAAGTTATTTCATCCCTTGTGGTGTTGATGGGTCTTGGGCCCCAAGCATCTATCGTTGACCATTTGAGCAGTTCACCATGGCTCGCGTGGAACGCCCGCTGGCCTGCTGGCACATGATCCGAGCGTGGTGTTTCGTCCTGGGAACCTTCCTTTTCCAAGAAGAGCACCGCTTTTGGAGGGTTCATCCTACTTCAGAAGCGAAGCTGGCAAGAGAAATGGAGAGATTCCCAGAAGTTCAATCAACCCAAAAGCAACCAACAACAAGTATATAGTCGTTCTTCCAATCTGGGAGGAATCAGATCCTTTCCATCAATTTATATATAATATAAGTGGTTCTTTGGGCTAAGACGAGCACGGCCTCCCCTTTTCTGGACCAGCCAGAACACAAGAAGGCCAAGAGGGAGGCTAGTGCTTCCACGTGCTTCCACAGCGACATGATGCTACATGGGTTTCAGGTGTCTCTTGGACCAAATGTGATCATATCAACCACCCTACTAGGTGGTGCCACCCTACTCCCCAGACCCCCAGACCTCGATTTTCACGGCCGGAGCGGAGAGCTCCGCTCCTCTGGACAGAGGTAGACCGCCCGCCCGCCTTCGCGTCTTATCCCAGGGGACCGAAAGAGGGATCGGAGGTCTCCAAGACTCGGAGGAACCGGACTCAACCGGAGACGAGTCGAGACTCGTCTCCACAGGCAGACGAGTCTCCGTGACCCCCCACCGAATCCGAGGACTTCTCCAGCCTCTCACAGCTCAGCAAGTTGCTCCTCTCGCACAACGACATCGACGACACGCTCCTTGGGTACCGGGCAACGTCCGGCGCATGCGAGGGATTTTGGCGCATTTTGGGTTCGCCAGCCCCTGCAGGTGTATTATGTCATCCGAAGGGGTCCGGCAGTGAACCCTCTTCACTCAGTGCCACCATGTGCACTGCAGAGTTGGCAAAGTTCATCACCAGTTTGGTTCGTTTGGTGAATCAATGTTGATGAGACCAGCAGAATTCCTTGGCTAGGTCTGGAATTGGAAGAACTCTTGGTTGGTTTTGGCCCATAGCGATCTTTACAGATTTGGAGAGGTTCTCCCATTTTCAGACAACCACATCTACAGTCAAGAGAACCGCCAGAGGGCCAGAGATTTCCATAGAGTTCTCTACCAACTTAACCGGTGATTTTGTGAACAGGGCGTCTAATCTTGGAGGCGTATGCGCAAAGCATGGACATCCGGGAAGCTTTCAAGGGCAAACTCGGGTGGAGTGGATTGAAGGTCAGTTTTGAATCATTGATAAAACTTTAGTTGTGATTTCCTGGCATCAAGAACGGTCGGCACACTTGATCCGGTTCGCCGGATCGGTCGTACATGCTGATTCTTTCTTTTCATTTGTAGTGATTTGTACATATTTTGAACTGTTCTTATTGTTTCTTTTTCCTGTTTTAGATTCCCAAGAAAAGACCAGCTTGCAAGAGGCCGGCTGCCGTGGTCGAAGAGTTTCCAGTTAGGGCCTAGTTAGGGTAGGTGTTCATGATAGCTTGCCGTGGACGTTGGACTTTAAGTCGCGGAAGACACGTTGAAGTGGGTCTCCGTAGCAATGCGGGATTGGGCGATTCCTGGTAGTACTACAGGTGTTATTGCCGAATGTGCAAGGGACGCTCATGGAGAGGTGTCACGAAAATACATTCCCAACAGCAGACTTCTGTTGTTTGATAAGCGCAGAGATGTGGTTTTGGAGTTTGTTGTTGAATCCGCCCGCGCCGAAGGTGCTGGCGTTGTGGAGGCTTGCGCGGAAGAAATCTGCTGGATTGAATTTGGGGGAACATTATTATTTCAGAAATGCTATGTATTACCATGTTACTAAACCTGGGTAAACATTGGACTACACGTCGGAGATGCCGGTGATGCCGGCCAGGCGAGAGCACGTTATCGACATCGCCGACGCATGTGCAACCCGGGGTGGGTGTGTTCGTCTGTTTGTCCTGCCCGACCGAGACAGATTGAGATAGACAGACCGAGACAAACAGACCGAGACAGACAGACCGAGACAGGCAGACTGATGGAGCGAGACAGACAGACCGAGACAGACGCACCGAGACAGACAGACTGAGACATGCTTGAGCCCGGTTAACATTTCCTCCCGGATCCGAGAGTGCTGCCGAGCCGGTAGGGTGCTAATGACACACTTTTCCCATGTCTGGATGTGTGTCTGCATGTATGTATGTCTGTATGCATGGATGTCTATGTCTGTATGTGTTTCTAAGAGTTCTATGTGTTCTTCCCTTCGATCACGCAGGGGGCAGTGGACCGCTGTCACTCACTGCCCAACGAAGACAGTGATAGTCCGGTCGTGAAATCCAGAAAGGACTCTTTCTGGACGTACCTGCGCTGAACACAATGACTCTACTGGTTTCCCTGGCCGCGTTTCTTTGTTTCCATGGTTGTTTTCATGCTACTTTCCGCCCAAACAGGTTTCCATCCGCCGTTTTCAGCAGCCGTCGTTCAGCCGCGCTTCTGCAGACAAGTGAACACTCTGTTAAACCTTTCACTTACCTGACTGCTTCACCTTTCGTTTCCCCCATCCATTTCCTCGTGGAATTGAGTTAACTGAAAACGCTCTGTCGTCTCACTGGGTGCAGAGTGTGATCTCCCGCAATCGGAGCGCTGAAACCATTGGGAATCACATATTGGTTCGACAGCTTTGCATTCGTGAATCAGGTTACTGGCTCGTTTCCGTCTCACCCATGAATCTTCTGAGCCCTACGCTGCCGAGCCACGGAGATTTGACACCGCCGGGTCCACGGATTTTCTCCTGCTCTCGTTTCAGAGCTTTCGCGGTTCAAGTCTTTTGATGCTGGCATCCACGCTCGTTCATGTACTGTTACAGGCTTGATTGGCCAGCTTCCCGACATTTCCCGACATTTTCACGACTTTTCATATACAACTAGTTTCACTTGTACACTCCGATGCATCGCCGATGGACGTTCAATCCACATTCTGACTATCCATTTTCTACGTTTTGAGAAACTTTTTCCCAGATCCACTAATTCATTCTTCGCTCAGTTTCTAAGAGTTCTACGTGATCTTCCCTTCGAATCGCAGGGGGGCAGTGAACCGCTATCACTCACTGCCCAACGAAGACAGTGATGGTCTGGTCGTGAAATCCAGAAAGGACGCTTTTTCTTTGTTTCCATGGTTGTTTTCATGCTACTTTCACCCCAAGCAGCTTTCCATCCGCCGTTTTCAGCAGCTGTCGTTCAGCCGCGCTTCTGACAGACAAGTGAGCACTGTGTTAAACCTTTCAGTTGCGCTGACTGCTTCACTTTTCGTTTCCCTCATCCATTTCCTCGTGGAATTGAGTTAACTGAAAGCCCTATGACTAAGTGTATGTTTTCCCTTTACTCTGTGCGGGCGGCTTCGACCGCGAAGCGGTGTGAATATCCATCTGTGGCCTCTGAACACCTCAGACATCAGGACGGGCTCCCTGGACTTGGTCGCAAATAATTTGTTGAGGGTGTCGGCAACACCTCTGAGAGTGCTATGGGCGATGGGCCTTACAGACTGGTCCAAGAAGACGATCCCCTCTTTTTTTATTGTCGCACCAGAAAGCGCAGGTAGCTTGTGACAATGACCAGCGTGATGGCGCTTGTTGTTTTTCAGCTGTTTTGGCCCGATGAATGCATATGTGGAATTTTGGACTCTCATTCTGCTATTGTGCACGGGTGGAGATCAATTGGCTCCGTTCACTGCAGACTGGCCTAGTGGACTGTGGCACGGGTCGTTGAGGCCTGGGAAAAGGCAATAGGCCTGTGACACATGCGTGTGAGCTTCTGGAGCAGCTCCACAGTGACATGCATAAGGGTCTGAGGAGCGCAGCAACCGCTTTGAGAAGGCAACGAAGATTCTGGATTGGAACCATCTTCTCGGTGCAGCCAATAAAAGTCCAGATCCGGAAGGTGCAGTTGGAGCAGAGCACTTTTGCCGATGTGCCTTTGCAGTGGCGTGCTGCAACTTGGACAGGCGCGAAGGAACAGCTGGAACGCCTGGAGCAACTTTGAGGACCAATCTGTGGCGCAGTGATTGGGGATGTGCCATGATGGGCAGGAAACTTCCAGGAACAGGGGGTGGCACGCAGGCTGAAGAGCCTTGGCACTTTGCAAAGATGAGGCCAACGCTTCAGAACTTATACCTCGCGGTCGCGCGCGGAACAGGCTGCCTTACGTCGGGAACCATGGTGTGATGCACCGGCAGCCCGATGGTTCCGCAGTTGATGAGGCGGATGCTCTCTTGAAGGCAAAGGGCCTAGCTGCCAAGAAGGTGGACATTGCAGCCGGCATGATTTCCTGCTCCATTCGGGACACTTCTGACCCATATAAAGTGAGGACTGGGGTGCAAGTTAACGGTTCAGGGCTGGACTGGTAGTGGGGAGCTTGCCAGATTGTTTATTTGATAGGTATAGATAATAAGCTTCTCGGATGCCTTTTGTGTGTGCAGATGAGCCTGATTCTGTGTGCGCAGATGATCCTGATAAGTGTGTGCACATGATCCTCTCTGTCCATCAAGAAAAGTGGTGGTACTGCTTGGTGGATGCTGTGGTATTCTTTGATTGATGGCATGCCCCCAATGACAAGGCAAGTCTTGTTTCAAACGCTCCCTGGATGACAGTTGGCCAGCCTCCCAGCTGAACCACTGACCACTGACCATTTGCACTGAGGTTGCAGCAATTTGGAGATCTGCAGACACTCAGATGCATGTGAGTTGCTGAAGGGCGCGGTGCAACTGTGACAACAGCCGTGCCGATGTCGTTCGCCGCATGGAGATCAGATGTCGCCGGCGGACCCAGACTGTGGATGACCCTGACGCTACGGGGTGAAGCCAACCGGAGTCACCGGAGACTTCATTTTCGAACCGAGGTATAGATTTTGCCAACGCTAGAACGCCCTGGTGGGCTTTCATCAACAGCTTACTAAAATACATTCTGTGGGAGTCAGGTGCATTTCCGAAATCCATCCGAAGAGACAGTATATCTTGGGATGATATATGGGCCATGGGCTTGGGTGTGCAAATATATGTAAATTCATAGGTAGACCCCCGATCGCCCCAACAGGTTTTGGCTTGCTTTTCTTCTTCCAAATGGCCGACGTTTCGCACCGGTGGCCCTGCGGTGTGGCCTCAGAATCCCTCAGGTGACCTTGACAGGTGTCCACCCTCCTTGGCCGCTTGGCCGTGGTTTTCCCCTTCCCTACACCTCCCTGGCACGGAGGAAGCTACGAGTCTTGGATTTGAGTTCCAACAAGTTTTCCTGGCGGCCGACCTTCTTCCGGAAGCAGCTCAGCCATTTAGAGCGAATCCATCTGGAGGAGCTGAGGCCCGACGAGAGGGGTAGAGTCGGGTAGAGTGCGAGGAGGTGGTGGGCGACTTGGAAGTGATGAAAGGAAACACCTGGAGTGAAGGGGACCCTTCAAAAGTGGTGAATTTACTGGTCACTCAAAAGTTGGAGTTGCAAAATGACAGGCTAATCATGGGAAATCGGACATCCTTTTAGACCATCCATGGGAGTGGAATAGTTGCCTACATGGATGGGTGATGAATAGGGTAAATGTATGCAACAATTCCAGTCGCATGCATGGTTTGGCCTCCTTTATTTGGGATGAAGAGACACCAAAGGTCCTGCAGTTCTGTCCTCAACCTCCTGTGTCGGAGTTTGTTGGAGTTCAATTCTTGGGAATGGCAGTGCATGCAAAAACAAACAGCATCATGGGGGACAGCATATGAAATCTAGTCTATGGTATTTTTTTCCAAAGCGAAACCTGATACTAGCTTTCTTTGATTGATTTGAATGCCTAATCGGAATAAAATCAGCTCAGTTCGAAGTCAGCTAAGGATGGGCATCCTTTCCGGTTCGTGCACCAGCTGCCAGCGGGTGGCCATCGCTTACATCCCTTCCCAACGGGTCGTTTGAACTGTCAATTGCAGCCAACGCAGTGGTTCAGAGGGCCTCATTCTTTATTCAGCCAAAAACAGGGAAAAAGCGCACCAGAGTTTCACATCACCACTTGTCCATTGCATCCGTAGGGTTTACCATACCCAGCTACCCACTGTCACCCACCTCCCACCTGGCAGTCGCACCCACCTCCCACCGTTCGACAGGCTTTGGCCCAACCCCTTTGCCGACAGCTTCAAGGTGCGGTTTCACCACCGCTTCAACCGTCCGCGGAAAACCCGCGATCCGAGAGCGCCGATCAACGATTGGGGTGTGTGTTTTTGGTGCGAGGGGGGTTGCATCGAAGGCTTTGGTTCAGGTGTTCCTTTTGCTTCATTGCGGTACCGGGAGCTGAACAGGGTCTAAATTGTATACCTAGCACCGGGGCGACAAGGGCTCTAGGATGTTCTAGGTATGACATAGAATATGTAATATATGTAGAGGTGTACTTTATCCCAGAACAGCGCCATTGAGGGACAATGCTTGATTTTCTTGATGGATGAATGGATGTCTACTTGCCATTGACCAAATCCTCGATGGTGATGCAAGGTATTGTGCTGGTTGTCTCGGGATTGGTCACAAGGTTGCAAAGCTGGTTGTTATTACTGTGTGGAGAGAAACCTTTTCTAAAACAGGGAGACCCGCCAAAGATCCCGGAACAGTTTCGAACAAATACAAAAACTAAAACAATCTGAACTTCACGATACAAAGCCTTTTGTAATACCCTGATCAAGATTGCGAGATACGCATCGTTGACCCCACAGCCCACTTTTCAGCTGCGGCTGTGTGCATGGACGGTCGCATGGAGACGCATGCTCAGCCAACAGCCAGCCCACTCCCCATATGTGCTGCGCACGCATGCGCACGCATGCGCACGCGCACGACGGGAGGAATACCAGTTCATCACTGCTGTCACTCTGAGCTCCTTAACCTCACTGGATGGCTTCCACATCGACTCAGAACTCAGGCAGTGGCGCAGTGGCTACCGCGGCTGTGGTTTTGTAAGGAACAGGACACTGGAACTGGAACTGGACTGATTCTAATTATATATCAACACAAGTCTAAGCCTAAGCTCGCTGATAATGTGGAGGCTTGATCATCGCAAAGGGTCGCCAAACCACAAAAGATCACGAAGAAAACAAAGTTCTCTGAACAATCTTTTCCATTGGTCCACTGTGTCCGGAACCATTTGATGAGACGAGGAGTATGCACGCTCTCGTTCAACCAGTTCCTTGACGAAGTGACGTTCATTCCACATCATTCCACGTCTTCCGAAAGGATTGCCTTTGGAGTCACATGTCGGGGTGGTGTTTGATCCCATCCAGTGGATGTTCCGGGCACCCCGACTACCTCCATAGATAGCACCCATTCACATCCTGCTGGATCATTCACATCCTTTACATCGTTTTTTGTGTCGGTGCATCTGCCCGTCAAACAGCTCCGAAGTCGGTCGTGGTCAGCGACGGACCGCGTTGCGGGATCTGAGCGCAACGGCACCGGGCCCCGGCGGACATGAAAGAGGGCTTGCAGATAGTAACCGAAGCCATACATCATTGGCTGTTTGTTCTCCAAAAACCTGGGGTCAGAGTGGAGGCTTTTAGAACAAACGCACCTTATTAACCTATGCGGCGACTGCGAACAGATTCGCGCTAGAAGATGAGGGGACCAAACATAGAAGCCATGATGAGGGGCTATCGCTTATACATATCCTTTGCAAAACCCTCTGAAGCACAGGCCGGTATCTATTCATCGGTGTTTCTTTGCATCGGTTCATCTTGGTCGGACGCGAGCGCTTGGACGTTGAGTGTTGTGTGTTTCTCCGTTCGTTTTTGTGTCCATACACTCAACGGACTACACTGAAAGTGCTGTATATGGCACGAGAGTAGTTTTGAGTGTTGTCCATGTAGTACGGCTTATTAGTACAGCTACAGCCTATATCCCCAGATACTGCTGAACACAGTTTGGACTCAATGACCCAGGTGGGTCCACCGGCGCAGTTTGGGTCCACCGGTGCGGTGTTTGCCGCTGCTTTGGCCGCCAGAAACTGGTCTTCCCACAGCAGGACCCCATCCAGGTCTGCGCGTCAACTCGTGGAAAGGTCCCAATGACTGCAGTTTCGACACCCACTGAAGTGTTGACAGCAGTACCTTGCCTGCCTCTGTGGTTAACTTGGTATCTGGGGTCTATGCCAGTGTAATTTGCTCTGTGAAAAGAACAAACACAGAGACAATCTATATCAATCCCTAGGGATCCAAGTACCTTCTCAGAAGGTGATTGGAGACTATCTATGTAGGCTTGGAGGGCCCAAGTACTTCCTGAGGTTCGGTATGTGGATCCCTAGGGAATCATGTTTCTCCACCTGCCCGGTAGGTTCCAACTACGGGTCCAAGCAGATCAACTGCACATGAATGCGGCGGACTTCTCGATCTTCGACGTGCGCGTGGAGGAGCTGCGCGGGCTCCGGGCGAACGGAGTCGGACGCAAGCGCGGCGGGCGAAAGCGGCGGTGGCAGCGTGGCAGCCGCGGTGGTGGGAGTTCGGTTCCGAACGCAATCCCAAGGCATCATGTGATTGCAAAAAACCTATTGACGTATTAAGAGGAGGTTTTGCCATCCAAATGGGAGGCGTTTATTATTGATCAAGAATCAAGAGTTTGCATTCAGGTATAGGTTGACCAAATGTTGACCAACAGTCCAACAGACCTTGGCAGACTATTCGTTTCATTTTCTGAGGCCACACGGGTCCCCTGGTTTTGTCACACCCATAACGGAGAACTACAGTAAATCTAATCTATTGTGTTGGTGACTGCACGCCCAACACTTTGACACATTTGCTGTAATACTTCCCATTTAATGAATTTGTTCGCATGTGATTTGAAGTGTGGCGGGAAAGGATCAAAGTAAGTGATGTGTTCATGAAGAGAGCACAAACTATGAAACGCAAGTCCATTCAGTATTGGTATTTTCTTGGGTCTTGGGGTGTGTTTTAGCCAGTAGATCCCCAAGCACTTCTCCACTTTTTCCAGGGCCCTCCCCAGGAAAAGTGGATACCCTTTAAGTCCCTTGAACCCTTTTTTGGGGGAGCATCGGTTTCCATCCCACTCAAATCCAGGCGGAAAAAGGGTACATTTCTATAGGGATCGAAGCGGCCTCGGGAGACAGCCAGTTCGCAGTCGGAGCCCACCAGGAGCGCCGGAAGCGGACGGCTCCTGATGAGGTGCTCACAGGCGAAGCGGATGTGCTACTCAGAGTGGATCCAGATAGCGTTAGAGCAGGTCACCAGTGGCAACTTATAGTAGGCCACCCTCTCCCAGTGCCACAGCGGGTAACCTACAAGAAGGTTATACCTACTATAAAACGTTTCTGTCATTACTGCTCTCTACCAGTGGTAACTAGTAGGCAACCGGTACGTTTCAATGCAGGTGTCATCAAAAAAGAACTACAATCCCTCGTTCCTTTTGAGCAGCCGCTGAGCAGCCCCTTTTGAATCCTCCGTGGGTCCTCCGGTCGGTCCTTCTTTGGATATTGTATAACAAACACTGCAGTTGAATAGTGAATGACAGTTTCTTGCGAATTTTGTGTTGAATAGAGAAGACTAGTGAATAGTTGAATAGATGAATAGAGAAGAATTCGTGTTCACTACTCATCCATCGAAAGAGATTGAATGGTTTCACGGCCGACTTCTGGATGGAAAGTCCATCGACCCTTACTACGGAGTGCTTCCTGTAGTGACAGACCCGAGGATGCCTCTAAACTTTTGGCAGGGAACCCTGTTGTGCGCTGGCAGTGGTTTTCTTGCAGCAGGATTTCGTCCATCAAAAGTAGTAGTATAAGGCAAAGGGTAGTCTTGGGGGTACCAGCAGATCTTCTATCAGTTTTCTGATCTTCAAGCTCTTCCTTGAGCTATCAAGGAATGGAACATCTAGTATGTGATGATCTGGTCATCTGGTCAAGAACCGCTGATGTCGCTGCGGGTTCCGGTTGCTCCATGTTCACCCGAAGAATCGCTCAAAGGTTTTCAGGTCTTAAGGGTCCCAAGTCTTGCGATGCTCCAGGGTCAAAAGCCTCCGGTCCTGAGGGTCCTGAGGGTCCAATGACTTCCCGACCCACCGGGAAGAAACACGCAGGAGGAGCTCATGGTCCCTTTCTGTTTATAGTCTTTTTGTTGCTTACAGTATACAGGGTACCTGAGCTGCAATTGTCCTGCAGTTGATAGAATCATGCTACACAGTGCAAGCCCACCAAGGACACCCTTTTTCTATATGGATGTAGAACATGTGTATAGGAAGGAACGCTTTGTGTCTCCCCATGATTCCAGATATCTCTCCTTCAAAAGGCTTAACTTGCTCTGGAACAGTCGATCGCCCCATCCACCCAACTGACAGTCATCCGATACCATGCGCCGTTCCCGCCAGGGATCGAGCAAGAGTTTCTGGGTGGCCCTGCCACTGGGCACCCAATTGGGGGCGGAGGGACACGAAGGACTCCCTTCAGGGCCGATCTTTGGAGTGTCTGTCTGAGCCCATCCTCAAGAGCACTTGAACGGGGCCAGATAGAAGGAATGAAGTGAAGCTGTCTCTTTTTTCTTCTATCCATGTGTTCTGGCACCTATGGCACCTATCCTTGGTCTGATCTGATCAGAACTTCTGATGTCATAGCAACCCGATGGTATTCTGCCCGGGATTCTCAGGTCCTTGACCCTCGAAACCCGTGCCCCAAACCCCTTCTCCGAGAAAAATGGAGGATCCCTGAACCAGGGCGCTCTAATTGGGTGTCTAATGAACAGTTGAGGACGTCCAACATAAGACAATCATGGGGGCGCAAGAAAGGGTGTCTAATGATAGGGGGTGGTCAATGGACATCCCCTGGTTTGGGGTGTCTAAATGATCCCTTACACAGGGCCCTCTGGGCCACGATGGCAGACGCCGAAGTCGGCGGGTTTGCTCTTCCATCGAAGCTCAGTTTGCCGTGAGGGCCAAGCTTTCACGCGATTCGTTGTCTTTGAATGCTACCCAAAGAAGCAAAGACATCCAGGAGTCACATGTCGGGGTGGTATTTAGTCCCTAAGTGGAGGTTCTGGGCACCCCTATCCTCCAAGTTCGGCACCCCTTTGTGACTGCTGGATTGAGCATGTTTTTTCGGGTTGTCCACTTTTGTTGCACATGTCCATTCAGCTTTGCTTCGCAACAAAGGTCTCGCTCGACTCTGTTCATGTTCGGTTCGAAAAACCATCCCGTCCCGGGTCACCTGCCATGGGTCACCAACCAGGTGATGACCTCCAACGGCTCAGATCCACCCTCCAAGTGCCTCGCACGTGGTGAAAAACCTGCCTTACCCCCAGGTGCCAAGCATTCAAGAGCTCATCGATACCATGAGGAGCGCGTTTGAGCACTGCGGAATGAGGGGAGTGGAACCTTTCAGCCCTTTTTGCAAAGTGCGAAAGGGCCTCGTTGCCCTTTCGTGGCCGCTTGTGGGCGAATCGAGCGAAGTCAGATGGGCATCCTTACAGCGTCCGATTTGAAAGCAGCACCCTATTTAGAACGTGCACAGGCTTTGGGGAAAGGATTCTGGACTCCAAGTTGAGGGTATTTTGCAAAAGTTCGCGTATTTTGATATGTAATCCCAAGAGCATCGCGTAATCCATGTCTGCACCTCAAGGAGAACGAAGCGGCTCTAGGTATCTACACATTTCTATACTATCGTGGTACATGGATATGCATGGGATTAGTGAGTCAGCCATGTTTTGAGTCACTCCATTGCAAGTCATTTTCGTGAACTTTGATTTCAATCCTTTGGACGCAATGCAGGCAAACAAATGGGCTGGACCCTTGCAACATAGGAGCAGCAATGGTTCCCAGGTCATAGATGGCCGCCCTTTGCTATTGGTTGGCTGATGTATACAGAGGATACCCCCAAGTGTAGAACCCAAATTCAATTGATAGGCATGGAGTACCAAACTGACCTCTCTATTTCCAAACAGCTATCATTGGCCAGGTCAATCACGTCCCAGCCTGTCTAATCAATCCACGCTGTTTACACACACTTTCCACACTTTCCCAATTCACACACGGTCGCATTTTGTTCTTCACAGTTATAGTTGTACCGTTAGTTATACCGTCCTGAGGAGTGCATTGGATGAACCCAACAACTTGCTGAAACACATCTACAGCCTAGAGCAGAAGGCGAGTCGGGCCTGGTGGAACCCCTGTAATTACCCTGCTCTCTCAGAGCTTTTGGGAGTGACATATTTGGCCTATGCATGGGATGCGGCTTCAGGGATCTGTATATGATCATGTGTATATAGGTACGAGGACCATCCAAAGGGTGTCCAATAGACTACCCTACCCCACGTAAACAGGTCTCCAGACAGGGCACCCGTTGGAAGTGCTAGGTAGGTGTATATTGCTAAGGGGTGCCCAATGATAATGTTTTAGTGCCAAGGGGTGCCCAATGGACATCCGTTGGATGTTCCTGGTAGGTATATCACGGTGACGGAGTGTGGGGCCCATGGCTTCTGGGACACTTATTGGACCACACATGAAAAAACCGTACTTGACCTATACTGTGTACTGGCTGAGTCTGAGCCGGGAGAGAAACCTGACACCTTCTTTCGGCACCAAAGAATCATGGCAGAAGATCGAGTTTGGCAGATGTGAAGATCGCTGTGCGTAAGGGACGATGGGTCGGTGGGTCCGAGCCACAAATGCCCAATTCACCTGATTCGACTGCGCATTTTTTCCGCATACCCTGGCCATCCAAGACCATTAAACAATGATTGACCTGGTTTTGTGCTGTAAAACCCTTAGTAAAACAATGTGTTTTTGTATAAAGCGTATTAAGATATTAAACTAATTTCATGGTGGTTGGAATCCCTGGGATAGAATACCAATCGTCTAATAGTTCACCAGGTTGTCCCGTTGGCACAACGGGTCAAGCTGACATGGGCGTCGCTCGCTTCAGGACCATTGGCAAGGTGTTCGTCAAGACTTCCCCAGAGTTACTCCAATTTTTGCTTATTCAATCCTTATTATACCTAGCGCTTCCAAGGGGTGCCCTGTTTGGAGACCTGTTTACGTAGGGTAGGGTAGTCCATTGGACACCCAGACAGGATGACCCTAGGTGGTCCATGTTCCGAACCTTGCAGTGGGGTCTGAGTACGCCTGGCGGGTTCGGTCTCCTGAAGACTGAGCTACGCATTCTGGGTACTGAGTACTGGAAATACCGCTGAACTCGCAGCTTCTTCCCAGTCCGTCGTTGTGCTGGCTTGAAAGCCAAGCAACGGCCCAGCAGCTTCATCCCACTGGGTTCCACCGCGGATGGCAGGTGAGCTGCCTTTGGAATGCGCATTTTTGGGATCGCCGGCGGCTCATGGTGGCCATCGAGGCGGCTGGTGGTTCTGGTCTTGGGTGCCTTTCTGGGGTGTGTTGGTTTGGTTGACAAGGAGTTTGGTGGGTTGTGCTTAATTAAACAACATGTCGCTTTTTGGTTGGTTGGTGCCTTCAATGTTTATTGTTTGATCCCTGTGAGAATAACGCCTTTTCAATTAGGGAACCTAGGTTAGCCTAGGTTCCCTCTGTGGCACCGTTTTACAGTTGCAGCATTTGACAGTTTCTTTTTTTTTTGGGGGGGGGTTCCCCTGGAGGGGGATCATGGATAGCCAGTAAAACCTGTTTGCCTTTTATAGTGATCCTGGAAAAAAGGGTTTTGGGCTCCGAAAATTTCGCACATTCAAGATTGAATTGATAGTACATGGATGCTATAGATATGCAATCAAATAGAATATCGAATGCAGAATAGAATATAGACTAGTACATTGAATATAGAATCATATAGATACGTAACGTCTTTGGAAGTCAAGCACGCACAGTAAACTGCTGTTTTGTAGAGATTGTAGTTCTCCAAAAGTTTGGCTTTCCAAATGTTGTTTCCTCAGTAACTTAATCAAGTTGATGGACACGAGAAAACAATTTTGTACAAGACTTGTGGGAATCAATGAAAAGCAATAGGTTGTGCTTGTATAGAGATTGTGGCACCCAGGAAATCTGTGTTTGGCTAGACTTAACTGATACTGTATGTGTTTTTTTTATTAAACAGATTCTTTTAGTAGGTAAATGGATGTAAATGGAGATTATGCAGGCTTCTTCCACATGTTCATCTTCTCTACTTTTCCATCCTTCTCGTGACTCGTGACCTCAGGATCATAACAGGGGAAGTTCACAAGGCTGCAGACTCCGAAAAAGGGTACCTCCCTGATCTGACCCCCGAAAAGTGTTGAAATGAGGCAAGCAGCGAACTAGCATCCAATTTGGAGAACTGCGAACAAATGACCAGAGTAATCTGAAAGAACAAGCAAGTAACTGAATATAACTGGATTATTCATTGGATTATCTATAGGATGGACTATGTTTTGCGTTAACAACAACTTTCACTATAAACTGGTGCTCTATAAATGCAATTTGGGTTCCAGAAATTGTGGGGGTGTTTGAGGTCGATTTCATTTTTGTATGTGTCAAAAAGAGGCCGATCTTAGCTGAAATGCTGCAAGCCTCTAACCTGTGCATCCTACTTTATAGTGAGTCATGTTTGATTCTATAGAGGTCCAGGGGCACCCTCCAGTTCAAAAAGATCGATGTTTATATAGATAAAATCAGGTGCACAGGTTAGAGGCGTCTTTCCCATCAAGGGAACTTGGAACTTGTGTTTCTTGCACTCCTTTTCCTCGATACCGCCGATCGAGACCTTTCTCAGACGTGCAGCTCTCGCAGCACCCTGACGTCCGGTGCTTCCAGCGTCGGTTCTGGCGGTCTGGCGCACCGGGGGAGAGACCTGCACGAACGCTTCGGGAATCCAGCGAACTCATGGAACAACCGAAGGTGAGAAGCTGCATGCGGCGTCACGAGCCCGTCGGTCGGGCTGCGGCGAGTCGCGTGATACGCCGTGATCGACGCGTTGGGGTTGTCGGTTGCGAGCTTGGCTGGGGCACAACGCCCTCTGAGTTGGAACCCACAGAACAAACACTGTCCACTCTCCCACCTGAAAGACACCATATTGATCCAGAGTGAGTCGCGCTTTCCAGGAAAGCGGGCGGCAAAACCAGTTGAATGCCACCCAGGAGCGCCTGGCAGTGGCTGCGCGACTGGGCTATCAATGCAGGTCGAAGAGGATGGAGGATCGGTCTTCATCACCCTAAGCACGGACGCTACCAAGGAGGATGTTGGGACCCTCCAAAACCTTCACCTTTGAGGGTCCTTGATTCATTGTGGCAGTTTCTTTTTTTGGTTCCGGAAGACCACTTGAAAACTGTGGCATAGCATGGGAAGTGTGGGAGATTGTGGGAGATCATTCAACCAATAATTGTGGTGGGTATTGATTTCGTTTGCCATCCAGACCTGGACCAGTTCTTTTCATACCCTTGAATACCCTATCCTGCCCTTCACCGGGCCATTTGGCGGTTTCTCGTGTTTTGGCGAACCGGACACGGACGGCACAGGGGTTCGGTGTTCCACCCGAGGTTTGCAGACAAGATGCAGCAGGCGGAAGGGGGAAGCCGGTGGTGGGGAGAAGCGGGAAGGTGCTTGGGGCGAGAAGCGAGAAGGCCGGGGAAAGGGCCAATGATGAGACCTAAGGGCGGGCCATGATGATCTTTTCAGTCATTTTCAGGAAGAGGATCAGAGGAGCCGGGCCACCAAAGTTGGATTTTTGACTCCCTTTTCTACCATCTCCTTGAGGAGTGGGGCGCACGCTGTTCGTCTCGTTCGTCTCGACGTCCGGAATATTCCAGAGAATATGGAAGATGGACCAACCTTGACTCCTTTTCAACCACTCCAGTTTGTAGGTAAATATTTGTAGCCCTAAGGATCCGCACCCTCAAAAGCAAGGGTTTGGTTCGAGGCCCCAAACCCTTGTGAACTAGAGGGTTACCCTCCCTCCCCCTATCCTCAGGGAGGGCCCGGGAGTCCGGACCCTTAGGGAGGTCAATATAATATTCCAGTCTCATGGATCGTTGAACTCGTTTGAGATGGGAGCGACGCCCCCCCCGCGATCCTTGGGCGGAGCGGAGCGAGGCCTGGGAGTGTCCATCGACCATCATCTACTCAGGTTTCGCAGTGTTGGAATAAACACGATGCCATGGCAAGGACTCTTGTGATTAATTTATGAATTCAGAAGTCCTTGATCGCAACAAATCACTGATATTTCACGCATATAGAACCAAGACAAGGATCACATTGTCAAGGATCGAAAGGATCAGGAATCAGGATCACTTCCAGTAATGAAGCTGTGACCATGCCGTGGTGTAATCTGGGATGTATCATCCAAAGTCTGATCATGTTTGATCTTGGGCCATTTGAAACAGATCGGCCCTCACTCTGAAGGTCCTGGGGCGCTTTGAGAGCGTCCAGGATGTGCTGGTGATGTGCCTGGTGCGCATGCTCTCCTGTGGAAATCGGCCACTCGGCCAGACCGGGTGGTACACCTGACGACACATCACATGGAAGTGGATGGCGGTCCCTCGGAAGACTACTTTCCTTTACCAACAGGTTTCCTTTTCCACTTCCGATTCCATGGTTAATGAGTCGGAGCCGGAGTGTGATTTTTTCCCAGTCTCCCCCCTTTCCATCCCTTTCCCCTCCCGTCCGACGGACGGGGCCTTTTTTTCTGTCGGGCATTTTGGACACTATGAGATGTGAATCAGTGCCTCCTGTGCAGTGAATCTGGCCGGGGCTTCCCCACGTGCCCTCCGTGGAAACCAACCCACCGACCACTCCGCGCTTCCCCACTCGATCACGAGCTCGATCACGAGCTCTTTGAGGTCCTTAGCCGAGCGCTGCGGCAGCTTATTGGCCGAGTGGGTGGATGCCACGGCGGAGGAGCTGCACGACCGCATCGACAGCATGTCCGAGGCTCGTTCCGCCGCGCGAGGTGCGTGTGCGCCGCGTGTCTTTGCGGAAACGAGGAGTGAGTGAAGAATCTGTCGTAGACGGGATTTTAGAGTACCTTCGGAAGTCAGAAATATATATATATATATATTATATAATATATATTTCTTTTATTTTTTTTTTTGAAGGATAGGTTTCTCTTGTAGGGCTTACATGGGTCTACTGTTTAGTCTTTCCGCAGTTTGTTTATTTTCAGGGGGTTCTTTCGCGCCTGTTGGTGAGCGTTTCCAAAAGGGGGTGGTTTTAGACGCCTATTTTTCCTTGGTTAGGAGTAGTTGGGCCAGTTGGGCTTGGATTGGTTTCGGATTCTTTGGGTTCTACAGCTCAATGACCTGATGGAATCAAACAAGTCGCTCACTCCGTGATGCTGACAGGCTTCAACAGTGAGCACTTGATCTCAATGTTTCGTTTATGTCCATTACTGTGCACAAAGTCGCGGAATACCAAATACCTAGAAAATACAGTGTTGTTTGTAGTAACCCTTCTGCAAACTACAGTTGCCATGGTTGGTTTGGAAGATATCGCTAGTTGTGGAAATGCTTGCAAGTGGCAACTTTGTGGGAAGTGGCCAGATAGTTCTGGTGTGCCATGCCAAGAACCAACGCCAAATTGTAGCCGCAAAGAGTTTCTGCAATGCCAATCTCGCTTGCCTCTTGCAGAAGTTCGCTCAAAAAAACCACTCTGGATTTACTTTTCAGGTGATTCCACTGGCCGCCAGCTGTTCCAGGCATTTCTGAAGTACGTTGCGATAGACTTTTCTTCCAGCCTTGGCAACTTTTCAGAGTTCAAACAGAAAGTTCGACAATGCACAAAGCTACCACAACTGGATACGAAGGAAAAGGAAGAGGTGAATGCCGAAGCAATTTTGGCAGGAGCGCGGGCTCCAAAGTGGGGCATAAATGATTACGTGTGCAATTGGAATACAAGTTTTGACCAAAGGCCTGTGCAGTTGACCCTTGACTGGCGGATGTTCGTGGCGTACCAATTGAACGATTTACATGTGTTGGACACTGCTGCGCAAGTGGGAAGATTGCCAACTGTTTGGGTGGTAAATTCTGGCGTGCACGACTGCAATTATCTCAGGCGTAATGTGACGCGGCTGGTTTCATCAGTGGACAGATTTTTTGCTTTTTTGAATCAAAACCCTGCTTTGAAGAGACGAACGGTGGTCGTGGGCATGCAATACATGGCAAATAAAAGTGAAGAGACGAACGGTCGGCCTGGCTATCTATACAATTGTTCACGAATGCTTCACGATTTGATGCTAAGAGGTGCTCAAGGACACGGAGTTTACTTTTTCCCACGCTGGGAAACCACACGCATCTATGCGGAGCGCTATGGTTCCATGACTCATTATCCAGAATCAGTCATTCAAGAAGAAGTGCCATCACTGGTAGCTGGTTTGACCTGTGTGTTCAGAAACCTTGCGGCTGAACATGACTTCACCATGCCCTCCGACATCTCACCCCAACCGAAGACAGCCTTGCTATTCTTTTTGCTTGCAGCCGTTGCTGTTTTTTCTTCGATATTTGCCAGAAAGATAATAAAGATGCTGCATTGCGCGATGTCGCGTAGAGAAGGTGTTGCTCTTCGATCTGACGCAGCAACTATCGGTACTTGTGAACGAGCCGAAGAAGATGCCGAAGAAGCGGAGACGGAGCCGCTGAAATCAGTGAAGTAGGAAAATAGGCGCTTGCACGCGCGATCGAAGCCGATTGACGAGATGGTGCAATCAAACTTTGCAAAATTTACCCCCTAAAGAGATCATCACTCTTTGAGATCGAAGTTCACCGCTTTTTTGAGTTTGCTGCTACTTTTGATGGGTTACGTGCCTGTTCAACATCATCACTAAAATGTGTCCAACCCATATGCGAACGTCGTCGCCAAGTGTGCTGCAAGCCAAACAGTGCCCTCAAAAGTCTGCCACGGCCTCTTGACAAGAGGTTCACAAACCGCTGAACGCATCCGAGAAGTCCAGACATGGGTCCAGACACGAGGCATAGGAGTGGGGATATGTGTGTTCTACAGGGCCCAGACCTAGTGGTTGGATGACAAGGAACAAAAATAGAACTATGGATCCACGTACCGAACCTGAGTTGCTGAGCAGGGAGACGCCTCAGGAGTTGGCGGTGGATCCTTAGGGGAACCTTCACCAAGGGGGCACAGGATTGCGTTGTGCAAACGCCCCTGAGTTTCTCGATCCAAGCGACCGCCTTGGAACCAAGCCGTAGCATATGGGATCTGGGTAATGGGTCATTGTGTACCAAAGTTAGTCCCAATTGGAAGAAGAACTGGACGAACATTCTCAACAAACTCACCTTGTCACTGTCTAGACGTTCAACAGGGGGCAGGGGTTGAATGGTGCTTGGATCCGCAGGCAAGATGTCGGGACAAAACACCAAGTAGAACCTTGAGCCTATAATACTGAATACTCAAGAATTCCAGCAAGTATCTATAGCGACCCCCAAAATAGAAACAGTAACCCTCAGGTATATATGAGTTGATTGTTTCAACCACATTCAACCACGATTTAGAAGCCATATGTCTAATCATGTCGCCTGGACCTTCCCCACTACGGTACGCTCATCTCTCCGCTCCTCCCCACTCGGCCCCGGTTCTCCCCGTGCGAGTACGTCAGGCGCTCTTCCGGGACTTGCCAGGGGAGCTCAGTTGGGAGAGACCGACTCGGTGAAGTCGGTGGGAGGGGATGCAGATGAAGAGAGACAATGAAGACAATGAAGGGTGGGTCTACTTAATTCCTAATTAAGTGAGTGGATCATGGGCACCCCTATCACCCCTATCCTCCAATAGGCATCCTGAGGTGACTCCTGATATCTTTTATTTGCAAGATTTTTCTGGGTGGGATCTGTCATGTTGGAATGTACTGGTCTTATATAAGTCTTATGCAAACCTCCTGAGCGTGAGAGTTTCCAGGTTTAGAGGCCTTTAGACAGCTTGGTGTGGCAGTTTGCACCTGAAGCCCACCACATGTGTAGACACGTTTGTTCTTTTAGGTGGACCTGATGCCTTCTGAGAACTTACCAGATGCTGCCTTAATTTGGGGGGTCAAGGTCCCATTCAGCAGCACGATCCACGGTTTCAGTGGCATCATCGCCAGCTTCTCAACGGACTCACTGGTCACTCGGTCACTCGCACGTCCGGCACCGGCATGACCATCGGATGCACACTCGGCCGCCGGACGGGTTCGGATGCTCGGACGGGTCCAACCAGTGGAGGAGACCGCCAGTGGAGGAAACAGGTCTTCCAGGGGCCGAAGCGGCCGAAGCGTTCCACTTCCATGATTGTTTTGCATTACTTCTGTAATTACGCAGCCTTTTTGGTTGGTTGGTGAGCCAATCACACTTAAAGCAGATGAGCGAGGAAGCAGATTGTGGGTCCATGGCATAGACGACCTACTTCATAGCAAATTGGATTCCTTCTTTTTCGCTGTGGTGTTGGTACACGAACACTCTCACCTGGTGGACTTTGATCAGAGCTTTTCACCTGGTGGACTTGATCTACGATCACGAACAACCCAACCGAACACGTCAACCCGTCGCAGCCAGACATCAAGAGCTCCGAGAAAACTAAAACGTCCGAGGCGCTTCCAGCTGGTCCAGGGCATCAAGAGCGTCAACGAGCGGCCCATGGTGTGGGAGCCCGGCAAAGCGCGCCGAGTCGGAGGTGGTAGGTTCCACCGGCTCGGTCCTGGGTCAGATCGGCTCCGTGATAGGGAGCGCCATGGTGAAACGGGGAACGCTGCTGGGCTGCGGGTTTGGTGTGAACATGTTGGCTCCCGTGGCTCCCCGTGTTTTTGCGCACGTGGCCCCCTGTGTTCTCGATCAGAATTGGAGAGGGAAAAGCCACCATGAGCCACCCTGAACTGTCTGAACTTGTGTGTGGTGTGTGTTATCTTTTTTCAAAACCATCAAACACCTGCAGCTTGGGGGTCGAATGGTCCATGATTCGCTTCCTCACGGACCCGAAAGATGTCTAGACAACGAAAACCTCCAATGGTCCAGGCATATTCGATTGGTCTTTTCCGACGTCCGCCTCCTGTGCTGCTGGAGCGAACTGAGCGAACGACTCAGTTTGGAATGAAGGGCGAAGGACTCATCGTAGTGAACACTGGCAGAACCCTGGAAGTCCAACATGACTCATTTGGACTTTGGACCCCTCTGACAGTGCTTCAATGACTGCCAGGTCGGGAAAGGATCAACAATCACAAAAACAATCACAGGACCCAGGACACGTGGGAGTTGGTTGCATGGACACCCCTTATATATTATATATATCACTTAATAGACACCCCCCGCAGCGGGGCTCACTGGTTGTTCTAAGGATGTTTCTTTTTTTTTTAAAGTGATCAGCACTTCCTACCAACGCAGGGTGGAAGTTCTATCTCTTCTTTCGGAAAAAACCCCACCTCTTTCGACCAAGCGAAGCCTCGGGCGGCCACGGGCCACGGCGGCGTCACACGGCTCGCGGACTCGGTCGGCTGAGTTGTGCTATGAAGCCTCACACGGCCGTGCCAAGCCGCTGGGGTCGGTCGGGGGGGCGGCGTGGGGAGCGGGGTTTCGTTTCGAGGGTCCTCGCGCGAGGAAGACGTGTGGAAGTGAGAAAAGACGTCAATTCTGAGGTCCCCAACAATCTCTTTGAAGGCGGGAGGTGAAGAAACCTTTGACGTGAAAGCACGGTGGTCGGGGTAGGGTAACCGGCAGAGGTTTTCTGACTTGGCTGTAGGTCAAAGCCTGGAGCCCCACACCAGGGTAGGTTAGACCTCCTTAGTATAGTGCATTCTGCTCATTTTCTTTGATCAACCAAGGTACCCCGGTTGTGACCCACGGCAATTAACTTCTATTGCTGATCACATATCATCAGATCTTATATTTAGCATATTGCCCATGCATCGTCGAAAACAGCCTCTGAAGTCAGAGTAGCTTGTTGCCTCCAGACTCGTGCCTCCTTCCAATTTCGATGAACCACTTTCCATTTCTCAAATCCCAAAAGGGATCCCTCAAAAAAGCAGGGTGTCCTTGGTCTTCGGTCGGGCTGGCGGGTCAGAGCTTGGCGCAAGCTGCGCAAGCGCGCTCTTGCGCTCTTGCAAGCTCGACCCGGGTGATGTCATTGTGATTGCCCGGTTGTGGGGGAAAATCTCCGACCACTGGCTGACTGGTGCTTAGTATATGGGAATGGATCCTGAGGGGCCTACAGGGGTGATTCATTCCCTCATTCCCTACGAGTCGCACGAGTCTGCTGGGGAGGATATTTTTATGCTTTCCTGGTTCGGAACGCAAATCCAAGAGAGCCTAGGAAGGTGGATGATGAGGATGAATACGATATCGAGCTGGAGCAGACGCTCGGCGCATATTTCGCTGATTGGGAAGCTTTGGAAGGCTGGCATCAAGCTAATATGGTGAAATCACGAGATGTTGATTCACAGATTATTTGGAGTATGTCAGGGTTTCATTATGTGCCAGAAACTGCTGTCAAGTTTTTTCTTATTAATATGTTTGAACCCCTTTCAGACCCACATTGACCTGGCACCTTGGGCTTTCTCTCTCCGAGATGTTGCCGAAGTGGTTGGTGGGGGCTATTTGATGTTCCCTTGTTAGTTGGCAATGGGCTTTGACCAGATATCACATCATGAAATCCTGCTAATCCTTTGGGGTGTTCCGAACGCCCCACCGAACGCACTGTCAGAGATGTGGACGGAGTGCGTGGGCGGAACCGACCATGACTTGGGAGGACGGGTGATTAAAAGCCCCGGGCGCAAGGGGTTTTGCTTCCGGGGCGTCTGTGTCTCCGGATTTGAGCCTACACACCCGATTCAATTGGATTGAGATCCAGAAAACAACGGCGAAGACAGGGGGTTGAGTCTGACTGACTCCAGTTGTTGTAAGGTTTCCTTATGTTCTGCACCACATCAGGGGTAGAACATGTGTCACTCTGTGCCATTGTTTCCCAAACTGTGCAGGATATCTTCAATTTGAGCACGTAGCATTCCAACAGCCAGGCTGTTCAATTTTTTTTCAGACATGGTTTGACCCCTTGTAGCAACCATGTTTCTACCTGCACGCCCCCCCCGTGATTTCGAAGCACCCTGTGTAGGGTTTTTGTAACTTAGCTAGCTCAACATGTCAACATGTAGCTGGTATCTTTGAGGTTCACCCTGAGATTTTTAAGTCGGTTCAAGCGATCGGCTTTCCTTTGGAGGGAGAGGCACTAGGTCTTTGGTATACTTTCCGTCCCAGACAATTTATTTATGAATACATCTGAACACAGGGGGCGTTGCGCGTTCGCGCATTAGGCTATCACACCGAGGGTTCCCACCTGTCTACTTTGAACAGGTGTTTGTTGACAGGCGTCGCGCAACAAACTTGACCCCGCCCGCCCGCCCGCCCCAGAGTGGGTGTGGCAGTTGCAGCTTCTATCCTTCCACCCCAAGTGGTGCTAGGGTTGGTGCCAGGCCTGGGGTGCTCCCAGTTTGCCACCTCCCCAAAAAAAGATGTTGGTGTGATAAATCTTCAGTCACGTTGTTACATTGACCAAGTTCAACCCACCTAATCACAGTCAATATTCCAGCAACAGAATATGTATAATACAGATGTAGATATGAGCAACCGCCTAAACATGTGATGACCTATTTAGTAAAGAGCGGCCGTGAATTTCAGGAATGTGGCTGAAACGTGCAAAAGTGAGAGGCTCCCCACACAAGTGATCAGCTTATTAGAACATGTCCTCTTTGCTTGACGTTTTGGCAGACACTCATGTAACAAGAACTATAGCGCACTTACACTGACATCGATCAATGAGACCATCATTGATGCGGTTCATTCATCCGTCAACCTCAATATTGGTGTGTGTATTAATAGGGAGAACTCTCAGTTCGGCTTCCTTGGAAGAAGGAACATAGACCAAAGCCCATGTTTTTTGTGTGCCTCCCCATTAAAGTTTACAGACCCATATTGTCGGTGCTCTTCTTCTCCTTTTAACTTCCTTTTCCTATAGCTATCAAAGGCTTGCTCAGCTAGCTGCGACTCCGCACAGCAGCTCTCTGAGGATCGAGGCCAGTTGGTACATCTTGACGGCCTTGAGCAAGTTTGGACCCAGCCCCTTGGACCCGGTGTTGTTTTCGCACCGTCTTGCCGTCCCCCCTTTTTTGGATCGTCGCGAAGAACTCGTCGCTTCGCGGCGACGCGCTTCTTTTTGAGCGCGCGTTTTTCTCTTTGGAGGGGTGGTGCAGCCGTTGGTTGGAAGGTCGGGTGGAACGGGGAGGACGAGAACTGAGCGCGGAAGGTGGGGGGTGTGGCAAGTGATGGCAAGTGTCCACACCTGGTATTTGCTCAATTATTTGACATTTCAAACAATGGTTGAAAAACCTTGATCGATCTATACCAGTGCTCCAGGGTACACATCATCCAAGGAGGAATCACAATTCGTGCCAAAAGATGGCTCCACTCCATTGAATTTGAAACCGAGGGCCCTTCTCAAGGTTACGCTAAATTCCGATCCAATGGCCCCACCCGAAGGATGTTGGAGAGTTTGTCTTTCACATCCAAGTGAATATGTAGCATTCATATCAACTGGTGAAGTCGCTCGCTCCTGGGGAGAACGGATCTTTGGGAAAGGCGGACGAGAAACACACCCCACGCGTCGCGGGACCTCGCGGTCGCAGAGGCACCTTGTACGAGCGCATGGTCTCGCCCTGGCGCGCACGGGTTCTGCGGCCCTTCCTGCCGGTGCTGTGCCGCGAGCCAAAGGAGGTCTTAGGCACCAGGGGGTGCTGTCGTGCGGTTTCTGCGCGGGTCTGCCGTGGAGGTGGCGAGTGGACATAGATGCAGAATGCTCGGATAGGCTCAGATAGGCTCAGATATGCTCAGATGGATTCATTTAGAGATGATTAGCAACTGTGTATATGTTCCATCATGTTCCATCTTCACATAAGAAGGACACAGTGTTTCTATAGATTCTATAGTAATCCTGAGGGGAAGGGGGTGTTGAGGAGGTGTATGGCATGGAGGGTTGTGGTTGGAGAAGCTTGTTTTCCTTCTTCAACTGACTCAGAAGTAGCTGCCTTTCAGGCGATATCAGTCGATGAGAACCTCAAAGATATACCCAATATCTTCAAAGAGACTTGGACGTGGACTTCCCCAAGCTTCCTTCATGATTGCATCGGTTACTCACAATGCCAAATGCTCCAAATGCAAGTCATTGTCATGGCATCCTCACACCATCTGAGATAAGAGAACACATCCCAGTACCATGCAAGGCTTTGGGTCTTAAGACTGAAATGCAGAATATGTCTTCCAGAAGTCCAACTGTCACGCTCTTTTGAGTGAGTTCGTTACCTGCAAATCATATGTTTTTTCTTGAGACTCTCAGACCTCCGGGGCTTTCAGCCGCCTGGCTCAGCTGGGTGAACCCCCGCCCCCTCCGCAGCTCCCTCGCCGTCCGCCGTCCGCCTCCCGCCGGGCAGGGCCGGACGGTCCGCCCGACCGCTGGGCGGAGTACGTGGGCTTCGACTCCTTCCCCGATGAAGCGGCTGAGGTTCGGACCGGGAAAAACCGGGAACGGAGGGAGATGGAGATGGTGATGGTTGATGATGGTTGGTGATGGATGGGGAAAGGAAGGATGATAAGGATGGGTGGAATGAGGAGGAATGAGGACGGACATTATGACCCGTGTCAGTCAGAGATGCTGACTTTCAAGTTGTTTTCGTTGGTTTCTTTTTCAATATGTTGTTTGCCCATTAATTAAAGTATAGTTATTTCAATTGCCCTCAGTGAATTGTTCTTTCTTCTTCGCCCCGCAACATGTGGCTGGGCATCTGGAGCGGAGATCTCGGGCGCCTGACGTGAGGTGATCGAGGCTGAGATGAACCTGGTGGGCTTTCAGGAGAAGTGTGCACGGCAGGCAGGGATGGTGAGTTCAGCAGCCCGCCAGGGGTCCGTAGTGAAGGGGTCCATGTAGACCTGATCACCTCGGCGAAGATTGAGACCCCAAGAGGTGCCCAGGGCTGAATAGGATCTGACGAGGTGGAAGCTGTAAACGGAGCACGGAGGAGCGTAGGGCCATGTGTCACTGTCCAACTCTTGTGGATGAACGGAGCTTCTTGGTAGATGGGATGACCGCTTTTTGGCGTGCCTTTCCACATGCCCAGGGCTTTGGCGGCTTCGTGGTCGAGAACGCCTTGGAAGATGGCATGGTGAAGGCGATCGGGAGGACTGAAGAGTGCGTACACGCCCCAAAACACCTGGTGTCGTGGTCGGACGGACCTGCTGTCGAACCCAAACAGTGGATGTGGCACGACCTGCCAGGTGCGAAAATCGTCGAACAGCTGGGGCTTGAGGACGCATGCGGACCCATGACCAATAATTACACTTCAGGGTGGCTTTCAACTCGTGGAGTGGAGAAATGCTTGGCAGGAATAGCCACAGCCGCGAGTTTCAAGTGGTTCTTAGGGTCCCAAGTCTGTCACCCCCAACCATCAAGTAACCGCCAAAGTCCTCCTAATGAGGGGGGTGGAAGACTAAACCCATCTTCCTACCATCTTGAGCTCCGACCTGTCCGACTGGCAAGGTGTACTTCAAGCAGCACAAGGCCCAGAGCCTCTCCTCCCTGCGCCGCGTCATGCCCAAGCGCACGCTGCACGTGCGCCCGGTCGGAGCCGTCAAGAGGACACAGGCGGGGAGTGCTGGGCCCTTGGAGTCTGACTTTGAAAGGTGTCTTGATACACCAGGAGTTTGAAAGTGCCGAACTTGGAGGGGAGAATCCATGATTTTATTCATTTGGGGAAGGAACACCAGATCTGGAACTGCTGGGTGCTTTTTATTCTCTTCTTCAGATTGACTTCAGGGGTAGGAAGGGAAAAGAAGAAGGTTGCTTTGTTGGTGCCAAGTGCCTTCTTCACTCACTTTTGACTCAGCAAAGGGGCATAGACTCTTGAAGGGCCCTGGCATAGGAGATATTTTTGGGCAGGTCCGTACGTAAAGTTTGTATAGCTTCTTGGATGAGAGACGAGCATTTCATGACTATTGAGTCTCCTGCTGCCAAAGAAACCAGACACCCCCATCCACATCCTTCGCTTCAGCCCGAAAACTCGCTTCAACCTCCTCCAAGCCACTGAAAGACCGATGACGTTCCCGTTTGCGAGGGTGCGCATACTCGCATACTCGAGTTCTCAAGAACAGGCCGCACCTCTGTCCACTCTGGACTGGTCCCCGAAACCCTCATGTAGGGGCAAGGAAGCTACTAGGGGCTCCTGGCCGTACTACTAGGAACAAGAAGGGTGAAAACCCCCCTCTCCGAAACGGTGATCATCGCCGTTCCCCAAGCTCCGCCCCCCTTTGCTCCAGCGATCTCTTCCACCGGTCGGGCCGGGGGGTCCGTTCCGTCGCTGGCGCCGGCCTTCGTGCAGTCGGAGCCTCCAGGCCTCGGAGGAGGGCGATGGGAAGAACTACAGCTGGAACGCCTGGGTCAATGGCCTCGCCGTGTGGCTCGAGCGGAGAGCGAGCGGGATCGCAAGCGAAGGGCGGAGAGCGGCAAAACCACTGGTGGACCGCTGGACATGGGGAACGAGGCCAAAAGCATGAAAAGCACTGGATTTGGGAAGCTTTTCAAATCCTTTTCAAATCCTGTCCTTTTTAGCTGGTCTTGGCTATGTGATTGCTTGACGGATTGCGAACGAGAGTCCCCCAGATCGCCTGCAGATCGTCGAATCGCCAAGAGCATCCACATTCGCACGACATCTGACTACATGTTGACTACATTCATCTACAGTTATTAGCACCTGGCAGGTGAAGCAATAGTCTCGTGCCCCAAACCATGCCTTTGCACCATTTGTACCAGTCTGTCAGCAGATTTCAGACCTTCTCCACATGAGTCACATGACCCACATCACTTCTCCAAAGCCATGACTCCAGCTCCACCCTTCGAATCGCCCGGAACTCCACACCGAAGTACTCCAGCAGCTGGAACCCAGGTCGCCCCGGGTCGAGTCGCAGGGTGGCACCCACTCAGTCGATCAGGTTGGTGTCCGCCAGCACCGACCCGCACAACGCGGCGGTCTGTGTGGCCTTCGACGCTCACGTGGCGGTGGTGACGTGCCTCGGCGAGGAAAACGCGGAGTTGGGCGTTGGGGTCTTGGAAAGAAGGGTGGTGGCTTGGCCCAAAAATGTGTGAGGTGTAGGCAAAGACAGGGGCCATGTATTTATAGTGATGGGAACTGAATGGAACTGATATGAATCAACTAGATAGTCATGGCATGTCATTGCCATACCCCAAAAATGTTGCCATAGACATCCATAGACACTCAAAATGGTCATAGCATGTCATAGGCATAACAATGATGACAACATCGATACGCCTTTTGGCAAGAACCTCACATATCTTAAATTGACAGCAATAGAACGCAGCAAAGGTATACCATGGCTTGAATGGTATATACCATGTTGTTTTTTGTTTAAACAACAACCAGCAATTTCGATCCATTCATTCAAGCCATGGTATGTCCATGCTTGTTTCCGGGCCTGTTCTGTGCCACATGGGCGCTGTCAGGCACGAGAGCGACAGCCAGGGCTTCACGGAAGCAGCACTTCTGGGAAGCAGTGAGGCCCGACTTGGAGTTGTCCTTCAGAAAAGTCAGTGATTAATGTAGACCATAGGGCGAGGCTCCAACAGTTCTTTTTCCATGTGTTTTCTTAGAACCAGAAGTGACGTATTCTATAGACCCCCAAGCACCTTCAGGAAAGGATGGAGAGACGGGCTGAACCTGGTGCAGGATTTGCATGCAAAGCAGGGGCGGCCGGGAAGAAGGAAGGGCCGAAACGACACCACCCGTCCAAAAGAAGCAGAGGTCGGATGCTGGCAATGTTGGATCGTGATTAGTAATAGGGTCCTATATAATTAATGCTAAATATTTTCAAACATAGGTGTGGTAAGGCATCAGCTTAGTTTTCTGCTTTAGTTTGATGTAGTTTTGTGATTCTGGTTTCTGCCACCTTCCCATGCTTCATCCTCCCTTTATTTTCGCACACCAAACATGTCACCGCCTCCCACACTCCCGACCCATGCTGAAAAACCTGTCCGCCTACCAGGTTCCCCCGAAATCGGCCCACCGCCAGGCCAAGAACGCCTTCTTGCGCCTGCTGCAGTTGGCCCGGAACTTGATGTGCGCCTCCGGAGATGCCGGGGTCAAGGCGTGCGTTCACCGGGAGGTCGAAGGGTGCGGAAGATCGGGTGGTTGAGGAGCGAATGGAGCTGTTGCGAAGGATAGTTAAGCCTGGGTGGAACCCTGGGATGAATTTGATTCAGTGGGAACTGCATGGGAACTATCCTTTTTCTCACCACTTTCGGTGACTTTGGTCAAAAAGCTAGACTTCAACTCACGCTCACCAGGCCGCACGATACTTCCTGGAACAGAAGCTCCACTCCCGCTGTTGGTCCAGAGCCCGCAGGCCTCCGCGACCTTCGGGGGCGGTCGGAGCGGTCGTTTGGAGGGTGCCGATGTTCGAGAGGCAGGCCCTTTGGTTGGGAGTGGGACATACACAGAGCCCAGTCATGAGCGGACCTGGCATTTTCCGCACTTCAAGTCCCATATGATCTATAGCTAGAGCCCAGTCATGACCTCTGTTTTGATAGAAAAACACTTGTTCGGAATTCTTGTGATTTTCTATGTTCATCATGTGGACCCTCTTAAAGGTTGACCTCGCTGGACCGTGGGGTTGATCAGGCTCTTAACGCAAGGGCGGGCCAGGAAGCCTATAGAAGCACGATGGGAGAAGACATGCCACCCCATTGGCCCCCCTGAAACCTTCCATCCCTTGCTTGATCGGGAGGTTTTGGGAAGTAAGTATGCAGGCCCAGAGGTCTTTGGGGGACACGAAGCATCATCGTGGCACAGACCAAGGCCAGTAGACATCCACTTACAGTAGCCATTGGTTGTGCCTGCCTTTATTATCGAACAATGCAAATAATATGGGTAAGTAGATGTTAAAGTAGCATATGTGTGGGAGGATCACATCATTCAGCTCACAAGGTGTCGCTCTTTGAGCACTTCAGGAGTTTGGTTACATAACTTGGTGATTCCTGGTGTGTCATCAGCTTCTACGTAATTCCTTCAATCGATGCACCTCTACGGGCCTAAGGTATTGAGGGTCCACTAAACCAAGGGAATTCATGAACTTTCTTTTCTATCCACCTTCTGAGTCAGCCAAAGTCTCAAGCAGATACAGAATCTGGTGTAATTCTGGGCAATTCCAACTCCAGTTGCTGGACCCATTTTGATGTTTTATCGTTCCATGATGAGGATGCGCTAGTCGTCCATGCTTCAAAACGTCCATGCGTGGCATGTCGCTCTTGCACTACGACCAGGCGTTTGCAGGAAGGGGGGTCTCCTTTGCCCCTGAGCCGCTTGTGCGAGCTGTCGGAGAACCCAGTGGACAACGCTGGGGCAGTTTTTTGGGAGGGACTTTCTGGGTCAGCTAGGCAATGCTGTTTGTACTTGGCCCATGTCGCTGCGTCTGTTCTGAGATGGCTGAACCCGAAGCACCGGTGATGCGTTTCAACGCCTCCGATCCGGATAAGATCTTCTGGATTGATCCTTTCGTTCAAACTTCCTGTGCTGTTTCGGCGTCACCTCGAACAGCTCCAACGTCCCAAAACAGGTTTCCTGGAAGGCATACAGATCGGCGGCTCGGCTGTAGCCGAACTTCGAGACGGTCTGTGTTTGGGGGCGTATCAAGATGACGCTCCAGGTCCATCAGCTTCACACCTCAATCCAAAACGATCCGGGGCATCAGGCCTGCCAATGATGTGACCTTGATTGGAGAGCTGGTGGGTGTTCTCATCACGATGATGCGCTGTGATGTGAAGGACAGCAGAGATCCCCCTTTTCGACCTGGCGATAGAGACATCGGGTGGAGACTTTGGGCGGACATCGCAGGTATTTGGACCGGGCCTTGTTTTCCAACCAGGTTCCAACCTGGGTTCCAAGCTCCTGGTCGGGGTTTCTCAAGCCTTCCGTTTTGGGAGCGCCCTTTAGATGGTGATGCCCCATGCTAAGAAGAACCGAAGTCGCTTTGTATCCCAACCTGCTTTGCTGCGGAAGAAACTGGCCAAGTTGGGCCGAATAGGCTGGCTGGGAAGGCGAAGAAATCGAGTTGTTTGTTGAGTGATTTGCGAAGAAGGAACAACAATGAACAACACAACAACATGAGCAAAAGCAAGAACACGACCGACAGTACAAAGTCATTTCCAACAAGAACGAGAAGGAGGAAAAAGGGGAAGGACAGCAGCAGCAGCAACAACAACAACAACACCAACAACAACAACAACAGCAGCAGCAGCAACAACAACAACAACAGTGACCTCAATGGAACACAAATCAAGATCAAGGACCAGAATCGTATTCTTCCACACCCACGGTGACTGAAGCAGCATGTTGTGGTCTGGGACTTCTCCTTTCCTCAGCACGGCCATGTCGGTACTGGGGTCGGTTCATCAGGAGATTTGCGACAAGGCCATGTCCGACATCAAAGCTGAAAACGGCCTGGACGTCTTCGATGTGCTGCTGCAGGCGATCGAAACACCGGAAAGATGGCTTGGTTGGGGATGACTCATCCCACAACAATCCATGCGTGGTACCTACGGGCGTTTTTTTTTTTTTTAATATTGTTATTATATATTTTTTTAAAATAAGTTATTTGTTTCCATACATATCAATCACAATCATACATACATGGATTGTTAGGGAATCCCTCTTGCATGAAGAGGGAGGGAGGTCAGCAAGAGTCACCTGGCATGTGTTTCATGGTTGAAGATTCGAGAGCTCAAGGTGGGTCGGCGCCAGGTGGCTTCCTCTACTTCGAATCCGGATCCCTTTTTCCTGGCGATCTCCTACGAGACCATCTACGTCTTCCTGAAGAGCGAGACTTGTTCAGCAGACGGTCTCCGGTGGCCCAAACCGGCGCGGTCTCCGGTCGTCCGACCGACTTGAAAAGATCGGGGATGCCGAAGGTTTTGGGAAGAAGTTGATCCATGAATTCTCATGAATTTAAGGGTATTGAATATTGGATCATTGTGGATCCAATTATTTATATATTGAAATATGTTGAAGGATGGATTTTTAGACCCTGCCACTTGGGAGGAAAGAGAACTCATGTTCCCACAAATGGCCCACTTGTGCTGCCATACTGTCTACATGTATGAGACCTAGATGACATTGAATCCAGATTCTCTAAGATCCCCACATTTGCAGCCCATCCAGCAGCGCAGACAGATTTCATTCATCTTCCGACACATTTGCATCAATGCAGCTTCATCAAGAAGTTCCTATAGAAAAGTAGAACATGAAAACACCTGTTCATTGGCTCATTTTGAACACAAGCATGGCTTTTGAGAGCAAGCAGGACCTCTCCGAGTCATTCGGAATCGTTCGCCACCCTGAGCTTCTGTAGATTTGTTTTCAGACTGGTGCTTACCCGGGAATTGAGGGAATGATCCTTTTCTACGTGAACATGCCTGCTCGATACCGATACTTGGGATATCTTGGGATCCTCTCCTTCCTGAACAACACCACTCTCAGTGGTGTCCATCCATCCCATCCCTTCCATCTCGGACCCGGGTCCAGTGCCGTGGCGAACCGCACCGTCCAAGGAGGTGATGCGCGGACAGCTGCTGTCGCGGGTGATCTCGCAACTCCGGGAGACGGCGATCCTCTTGCCCTACATCCGAGGGCCCTATGTGACGCCCGGCAGAGGGGAAGCTGAAAGGAACCTGCTGGGGCGAGGATTGGGGGAAGGAGCAGGGAAGGAGCAAACCACCGAGCCCATGACATGCGTGTGTTCTGAATGAGTAGAAACAGACTTTCTTGACTTTCTTAGCGTTCTTACCAGTGAAGTCGCTTGAAGATGAGGGTTGCATCTGCCCCCGAATATGGCCTAATTGATATTCCCTCTAGGGATCCTTGAAAGGGTCGAACCCTGCTGTTGACAGGCGTTTGGGGCCCCTCAAAACCCTTGTTTTGGAGTGTCCGGATCCTTAGTATGCTTTTTGTTAATGGTTTGTGGCTCCCCATGCCCGAGGTTTCCGAATCAGCAACGACCCATGCCAGGCTCTCGTTTGTGGCTCCCCATTCACCTGATTCCGCCTGATTCCTGAAAAAACAAGAAAACAGACTCAACCCTGGGGCTCCAACCACCTCTTGAGAAGGTGGTTGGGGTGGGTGCCAGGGGGGTCTTCCCACCTTCTGAGAATATGGTTGGAGCTCCAGGGCAAAAATAGATCAGCTCGGATGAGTTTGAATTTGGTGTACCAGTCGCTCTCCTTCCTGTAACCAATTCTTTAGAAGGCCAGTGTTTGCACATCCAGGAAGGATGTGCCCAACGAGAAGTACATGCAGCTCTGGTGCAAGTGCGAGTTGAAGTATGGCACTCCGAGCGCTGCACGGGACCGATTGCAAGTGCTCTATGACAGCCAGGCGGCGTGAGATCGATCTTGGGATGTTTTCGATCCGATTCAGGGCGATGGGGGGAGGTTGATGTTTTTTCGTTGGAGGGTTTTTAGAATCTAGAAGACATCTCAAGACAACATCTCAAGACATCTAGACATCTCAAGACATCTCGAGACATCTAGAAGATTCTATAGAATCACAGGGCGGCCCAACATCTCGTCAGGTAGAGGATTTGAAAGGTAGAGGATTTGAAGTGTCGAGGAACTGAGCACGAAATTTGGATGGTTCTTCAAAATAGCCCAGACCTGAGAACCAATCTAGGACCACCCTAGATATCCTAGGGCAAACCTTGTTCGGACCACTTCTGCATTGGAAACTCGTCAAACCATGTATCCTGATCCCGTGTTCATCCCCGCCATGCGTGCCTGCCGGGTGCAATGACCAGTTTGAAAGCCGAGACAAATCAAGCCATAGCTACTTCGAATAATGGAATCCACCAAATCATGGTGCAGTTGTGCCATGTGGATTTGTATCTTATCAGGGATACCCACAACCAATGGGTTTTGCGGCTTTGCTTCTTGTTATGTCCCGTGTTGGGACTCGCTGGAGTCCCCCAGCATATGTGTGAGGATCACCCGAAACAGGGTCCAACATTTGAGATGGGTGTGTAATAGGGAGATCCGAGATCCCCAACCAATGGGTTTTGGTCATTTCCCTTCTTCCAGGTTTTTTTTTCACTGGGAGGTCTACCTAGTCCCAAAACTTGCCCGCCGTTCACCGATACCAGTCAAGCGATTTGAGCTAGTTCGACACTTCTTTGAAAAAGACTCCTGTGCCCCTGGCCTCCCCCGTGTGGCTGACTCCCGCCCGATTCTTGTGCTGGCGCTCATGTCCTCGTTTGCGTGGCGGAGAGAGTAAAGCAACAGCACATGCAGTTGGAGCCACCCTCCTTTGTAGTTGATAGATGGACACAGCAATTGAGCAGTCCAGATGGCTTGTGGATGATGAACAAGGCCGAAGAGATAAGGCCTATCAACTGCTTGCCAGCCCCTACCATCCACCCTTAGAGGAAGTGAAGGAGGTGACCGCATACATCGCAAGTCCGGATGGGCTGTGGCAGAGTGATCGTCAGAAAGCATTTGACAAGGCCGTGGAGGTTCTTGCAGGCCTGCATCCTCCAAACTTTGTTGAGTCCGTGAAGGCAAAGGCGAAAGAGCTAAAGTTCAGGCTTGGTCGGGAGAGGGCATTTCAAAAAGCCGCAATGCTCAGCTATGGTGGTGGCGGTTGCAACCATGGCGGCTACAACCATGGTGGCTACAACAACGGTGGCTACAACCGCGGTGGCTACAACCAGGGTGGCTACAATCAGGGCGGTTACAATGGTGGTTCTTATGGCCACCACAACCGCTGGTAGCGACAGGGAACTGCGGCTAAACGCCACCATAGACCAATGCACAGCATTCTCCACTGCAAGAGATCAAGGCCCTGAAAGCATCCCTTCGAGATGGCTTGTGGTTGAGTGATCGCCAGAAAGCCTTTGACAACACCCAGACACTCCATCGTATATTTACCTACATTGGGGTGGTTTGAGGGGTCAATGGGGCGGCATATATGACAGACATGGAGTGTTTGGGATATATACATATTTTTGCACACCCGCATCCTCCAAACTTTGTGGAGTCTGTGAAGGCGAGCAAGCGAGCGGGTTGAAGCTTGGTCGGCTTGCGCAAGGCTTGGCAGGCATTCCACAAAGCCAATTGAAGGCTCAGCTAGGCTAGAACCATTTGGAGATGTATTTTAATGAGGAGACCCCCAACCATTGGGTCTATTTTCCTTCTTCCAGGGAGGTCTCCCTATTTTTAATACAAACCCATTTCGGCTACAAGCAACAATCTGGGTACTCTGGCCACTGTGGCCGAAAGTCACTGCGAAAAGGAGGCGCCGCTGCTTGCCAAGCAACACGAGCCTTCATGTCCGGCATGTTTACCTACATTAGGGTGGTTTGCAGGGGTCAATGTGGGTCTAAAAACCTCCATATGTGGAGTGTGTAAGTACTGTGGATGGTGCCAAGCTTTGGCACATGGTGAGGCGGCTCAAAAACCTCGAAGCATCATCGCCAAGTTCCACAGACCTCGCAGGCTGTGCCAAGCCACTGTGATGACCAGTCATCTGCCCCGAGGGGAAACCGTTCTGCCTTTGTGCACTTCACAACCCTGGTTTTCCCGACCACTTTGTTTCCCTCTTCGAAACTCAAAGGTCCAAAGCCAACCCTTGGAAACCCTAAGCTTCTGTGATGGCTAGGGGTTTTCCATGGTTTTTCTTCTGTAGTCCCTAGCTGCCAAATCTGCTGACTTCCACTAGCTCCCGCCCCTCATAACCTCCCCCCCCAAAAAAACAAACAAACCGCAGGGTTCCATCCCCTTTTTGCGCGTTGTTCGGAGGACCCAGACGAGCACAGCGCTTGGAAGGAGTTGGTCCCTGAAATCCGGGAGCTGCAGATGCCCGGCGTCGAAAGGAAGGAGGTGGGGAAGTAGGTGAGTAGTGAGCCGAAGCCACTGGTGTTACCACATTGTGGGTGTTGAAAGGATGTTGACCCTGAAACTCCATGAAACTCCATGAAGCAATGAATCAGGAGCTTGGTCCTTCTTTCAGCTGCCTGAATGGTCTTGAAATCAAGTGGAATTGAGTGGAGCAACATGTGAGAACTTCAATGGTGGGAAGATGGGGCATGTGTCGTTCGAGTCCCTCCCGCTGAAGGACACGGATTCGCAGAGGTGGGGGAACAACAAGCACGGATTCGCAATCAACTTTGGATGAGGAATCGTCTGAGTTGTGGGCGTGCTGCTATCCGGTTACTTTGCTTCCTGTCCGTTTGCCTATATGTAACATGGTGAAAGGCCAGAGAAGAACTTAATTAAAACACACTTGCAAATATGGTGACCTTAGGTTCTCCATAAACCTTTTAGCTGGAGGCCAAACGAAGCCTTTGCCTCCTAACTGATTCAAGATGCCTCTCGCAACACAAGCCACTGCCGCGGACTCCATGTGGGCATTCCGACAACAGGAGCTCCTTCGCTGAGGAATCCCATGATGCACCGTACGTTACTGGGCATTGTGAAGATCATCCAGTTACTCAGTACCTTGCCGCAAGCGCAGCTTCCGGATTGGGGTGACAGGGCTGTGTGAAAAATGGTAAGCAGCTGCTGGCAGTCAGGATTGGGTTCAAGATACATGTGATGGGTGAGGATCATGCAAGAATGATTTGGAGCTATAGATCAATTTGTTTGTTGACTTGTTCTCACAGAATGTCCAGAGTGTTCATGGCTATCCTTCAAACCAAACAATCATGAATAAACATGACATAGAGACACATAGACGAGTAGAGTTCTACACTATTTAGCTGGAGTCTCAAGTTGTATAATTCAATTTACACTTAAAAAAGGCACAGGACCTGGTTGTACTGCACTTTATTTTGTTCAGGGGTCATGGTGGTCATTTTGAAGACAAGTAAGATGCTCAATGGTCGGTCATCCCATCGACCGACCGGAATCCACCTTCGACCGATGGGCATCGATTGGACCGCGCCGAACCGGGTGCATCTCAGGTGAGTTGGCCTTGGGCGAAGATAGTGAAGCCTTAAAGCCCGTCACGGACACCGCGACCGGTGGAACAGTCGTCCGGGATCACACGTTCTGTGTGATCCCCTTGATCCGTAACTCGGGTGGTTTGGGTGTGGACTGAGCGAGGTTCTTTTTTAGGAAGTAGAAAGCGATGTAGGGTTCATGTCGTCAGGCTGAAGCCGCCGCCCCATGTCAGGGTTTTGAGGTCATGTTGGTCTATAGAATTGATGTGTACGTCTTTTCTAGGTTGCTTTGGGTGGAGAGCGGCGGAGAGAGAGTCCCAGCTTCGGACTTGCACCGAGCAGTGAGCAGTTCGTTTGGACTTCCACCCATTCCAAGCGAACAACATACTTCTACGAATTCTCGCCACCATTGGACGAGCATCATGAAACCCAACTGGACGATGGCACCCAGGCACACCAACAAGCAGGGAAGAGGAACAGTTCTTGTAGAGCTGCTGAAACTCCACTGGATTGTTGCCAGAATCTTAGGACAGAGGGGGTGTTCTCAATGAAGCCTTACTTGATCAAAAATTGGTGCGAGACCATCATGAGTTGATGCTCAGCAGCTTTTAGTTTTGCCAGGGCCTCCAGTTACCACCATAGCTGGTAACCAGTGGTTCCAAAGACTAAAACCATAGACCTTGATGTGTTTTGATTTGTTTGTGACAACTGCTTGCCCAGTCATACCAATGATCGGTGCAAACAAACACGCTGGCGCATGTGTTTTCCTTTTTTTTTGCTGGAAATTCTGCCTCTTCTTTGCTCCTACCTCTTCCCCGCTAGCCAGTTCGACTGCCAAATGGACACCCTTTAAAGTTGTGCCATGTGCCCCAAAACCAAACCACCGCCTATAGTCGTGTTCCCTCGGACACCAATCCCAAACTGCGCACCCTCCTCCGCCCTGGTTCCCGTACTCAGCGCTCCGCGTACGTACCGCGTACGTACCGCGTACGTACCGCGCGTCACGCTCAGCGGCTCGCGCCAGGACCTGTTGGACGCCAGCGGTCGCGAACGGCTGCTGATCGGCCCCACGACCGGCTTGGTGACCTGCCCCGACTTCGACGTGAGGAGCGGGACGCAGCGGGACGCGACCGTCCAGCTGGTAGCAGAGCTGCCAGGATCTTGGGATTTGATAGGTAAGTGTGTCACTCCATGGTTTCTGGATGTTTTTTGCTTGGAGGCTTCACCTTAACTGCTGGATAGATCCAAGTGTTTGTGAAGTTAGGATACCGCCAACCTCAAGCATCCAACGTGGCACCTCTACAAGGAAGCAGTCGTGAGGAATTTGGTCGTGTAGATCGATCAATCAGCAAGATGCCACTGGTGCAATATATATATATATACATGGGTCGTATGATCGTATGGGTGTTGGTAGGAACATACCTGCCAATCAAGATTCAGCATCCTGTGGAATACCTTAGCCTTGGCCTCAAGTAAAATGGAATGGATCGTGGCATGTATGGAATTGACATGTGAATATTCCTAGGACGCTCAATGGGACTGGCATATTGATCTACCTCCGGGTGTGTTTTTGTTCAACTGATCTTCCACAGTTGGGTCGATGTTTCAGTCCTGCACGAGGGCTTGCCTGCTAGTCCCATGATCGACACTCCCTGGAAGACCACATGGACCATGGAACACAGGCCCTGGAAGACCATTTTCCTCTACAAGGGGGGTCCTGTAAGAGTTATAAACGATCCAAACCGTGTGGTCTTCGTTTCCCTGCTTGCCCTGCTTTTTCTTGAGCACCAAAGAACCTGTCACCGTCACCGGCAGGGTGGAAAGCTTGAGATGTGTCCGACAAGTGCTGGTCTCGACTCCCGAGTACGAGCCTAAGGAGTAGCCAGCTGGTTGGATGAGGGTTGCAGGTATCGATCTTCCCCCTTAAGGGGAGCAGTTAGGAGCTACACCGGTGCCGGTTTGGGGGCAGCAAGACAGACATGAAGTAGGCCGGATTAGATCAAACATGATCAAACCATTTTGTTGGATAGAATTCGAATGACTTCGATATAGTTAAACTAAAGGAACCAGGACAATGGAGCGGGTCAAGCGATTCAATTTTTATATTAATACATAGTAATTCTTGCAACTGCATGTACCGCAGATGCAAAATGGATGTTGACCATTGGAGAGTCTCAGCGCCCACATCGGGGGAAAAGGTCATCGGTGTGCCGGAGTGGAAACGCCCTGGTTGAGAAGATCATGTGGATGTATTTTAGAATAGATAGACTTTGAGTGCCAGTTGGCTCGATCTTGAGACACCTCCATGTTTCTGAACGCCGCCAAGGGATACATCTTTCCCCACTCTGAGTGTCCTGTACTCATTTTGTTGCTACTGTACCCCTCAGAACCCTGCCACCATCATCCTCCAAGCCCTCGAACCCCGAACAAGAAGCAGGGGCGTCATGTTGGGGGACGGGTTCAGCACCCCACGGTGAACCCGCACGGGTTCAGTTCCGAGGAGTTGATCTGATGTGTTGATGGATCCTGCATGAGGAAGTATCGACATCGCAGCTGACCACCCACCCTTTTGGAAACGGATAGTTCCAGTGGGGTGATGTCCATCATGCTCCTAGACTGCAAAAGGTACAATTAGCCATTCCAGCTATTCTAGTTGTCTTTAAGATATCCTTTAAGTATCTAAGTATCTAAGTAATCCAGTTGCTCCCTCCGAAACCTTTCACGGCCGTGTTCGGCTGAAAGGCAGTTCGACCTGGAAGAGATGGGTTGGCTCTTGAACTATCTCACGTCTGTAGGCTGGATCGGCTTTTCGCTTCCCCCGCGGGTGAGCTTGGTGAGCTTGGTGAGCTTGGTTGGTTTTGTGGATGGGGGTGAGCTAACTTCTATTTTGGCACCCTGGGTGAAGAATAGAGGAAATAGGTTCCCGGTTCCTTAACCAAATCCAAGTTGAGGGACACGTTTGGTTGAATTCATTTCTTGTTTTCTCACACGAAGAAACAATTCAAATCTGGATTCAGAGACAAACGTGAGATGTGGAGATGACAAATCAAGCACATCATCTCAGTGCAGTCTTTGTATTATTATCCCTTCAAGGTTCTTTGTCCTGTTCCAAATTCTTGGGTGATATGAAGACCCATCGTCATGATGGCTGTCGTTATGACACAAACGTTGTCCCACGTTCGGTTGTTTGTGTCCCGTTCTGGGAATGGGTCGTGACCCACCTGGAGCCCTGCACTGGTCCTCCATCTAGCGAACGACCGAAGTCCACGTCGGTAGGTCGTGCCCGGTCGGTCTCCTGGTGCCATGACGATCCGCCGCAGTCACCAGCGCGGCACCCTTCGTCGTGAGGCATGGGCATCGGGAAACAGGGTCTCTTCCTCATGGAGGTGATCGAACTCATTAAGCAGCTGGGCATCGGGTGAGAA